TTATATATTTTATTAAATAAATAATTCATAATTCAATTTTTTATGACACAATCTTAAACACTTAATGTATCAGAAGCACAACTTATAATTCATTTATCCTATTTCTTTAAAATATCATATTTAATTTTTAATGTTATATTACTTAATAATATCTCTAACTATAGTATAATAATATTCATTTAATTTGCAATTTGCTATTTTATATATATTTAAATGATATTATTAAAATGATAAATATTATTTGTTAAATTTTTAATTTAGATTATATTTTGTTTTTCATTATATAAAATTTGAATTTCTGCATAAATGTTTAATATTTGTTAAATCACAAATATTTTTGTAGTAGCTATACTCATGTTTATTAAGTTAATATTATTATTAATTATTATTTTTTGTTTTTAAATAATAATGCGAGAAATTTCAAAAATAAATTAATTCAAATTTTTTAAGCTGTATTATTAAATTAAATTAATGCTTTATTAAATTAATGTATATAATTTTATATTTGTTAGAATTTATCATTTTCATTTTTTAGAACTATTGCTCGATTATTTTATAATTATTATCTATTTACTAAAAAAATTACTTTCTTATAATTAATAATGATTTTAAAATAATATTACTCTTACGCTCAACATTTATTAAACAATAAATTCTAAAAAAAAATTCTGCATTTTCTTATATCAGATATTATGTTAAAAATTAAAAATATTTATATATAAATATATGTTAATGTTTAACTTTTAATATACGAGTAATAAAATTATTGTTAATTAATATTTTCACTCTAAATGTCTAACTTTAATTGTTAAAACTGAAATATTAAAATTTTTACTAAATGTGAAACTATATATTAGATATAAATTTATTTAATAAAAAACAAATTTAAATATAATTTGAAAAAATTAAAATGAAAATTCATAAATAATATAACTAACAATTGCATAAAAAGCATGGAATAACAATGCATAATATTTGTGTAAATTATACATTTTAATTTCAGACTATACAATAATATGTATATTTAAAATATTATATTTATATATTATAATTATTATTAAATTTAGCAAAAACTACTGTGAATTCAATTCATTTTTAAATTAAAATGATGATTTTAATTAAAAAATATAAAATAAACTATCATAATCATACAAATAATATCACTAAATAATAATATTTGTATACATTAACGAGCAATTATAATATATATTAAAGTTATTATTGTTATAATCATTGAAGTATATAATTTTAATAATAAACTAAAAGCAAATGTTAATATATACACAATCTAAATATTTATATAAAGCAAGTAATTCTTTATATTGTTTTCAAAAGTTTAAAGCAAATATATTCTTATTTTATTTATCTTATTAAAATATATTTGTCTAATCAAACTTTCTCTATGAATCTTTAACTTTTTAAAAATAATTTTATGATTTTTAAATAAATTTATAAAATGTTTCGATTTTAGTAAACAATTTTTAAAAAATAAATAAACTTTAAAAACCATAAACCATAGAAGAAAAATTCATTAAACTTCATTGAAAATGATTAAAAGGGATTTAATACAATAAATAGCAGCAAATATAAATAAAATTAAAAAAATGTTTTTGAAATATGCAAGATAAAAGTTCAAATATCTTAAGCTATTATTTATAGAAAGTACTTCAATGAACATTCAATTAATACTCACTTACCTGTAGTAACAGCAGAAAAACATGACATTTTATTAAATCTGTTAGAAAAGAACTAAAACAATTAATAAAGGGAATATAATAGAGAACTATAAAATAAATAAATGATAATTAAACCAATAACAATAAATAAAAAATGGGTTTTATTTCTCATAAATTCTGATTTTTTAACACCAAATTTATTTTTATGAAAATATTGTATACACAAGAGACTGAACAAAATAAAGAGAAGAGAGACTATCTACAAAATGACTAGTTGAGGAATATATCTAGGCACTGACAGCAACGAAATCAGCTGATTACTAACTTTGGAAAGCTACAAGAAAATTAAGATAACCTGCCGATCAATTAGCGTCTTACCATTTGTAAGCAAAATGTTTGATTCTTCTATAAACTAAAACCAGTAATTGCTACTAATATATTATTAGTGAACCACTAATAGGATTTCAACAACAACATGAAACTTGAATATATTCATAGAGATTACTTAACCATCCGTACTGCAATACAAAACAGTACACATTACACAAGTCTTTAGTAAAATTTGGAATTAAGAACTGCTATATAAACTGAAAATGGTACAAACGACTTTGTAGTTAAAATAAATAACAAAATATTAAAAATTCTCCTGATGAAGACAAAAGCGAATCTGTCGAAAAACGTATAGTCAAAAGTCAAAATTTTTAAAAATACAAAACCAACTTTACAAGAAAATTACAATTTAATATATAATCTACTTAAGCGTTCTACAAGACAGAGTTCTTGGACCAATTTTTAATAATATTTACATATCTGATCTGATCTGCCCACCTTCACATAAATATCTCAAATCCAACAATGATATTCGCTCAATTATCAAAACGGTTAAGAAACATTACCAGGTGGTTGGAAAAATACAGACCGAAAGCAAATCCATGCAAATCAATCTAAGTAACATACACCTTTCTCAAAATTGAGTGTCAACCAAATAAACGTCTGGCGACAATAAGCGTCTTGGCCAAGCAACCAATATCTCTATTGGCCCCTATCTATCGCTTGGCCCCGAATCACAGTTATCGCTACAAAATATACTTCTAATCCATATATTGTCATTAAGCGGGTATTAAGACGGTATACAACTGTTGGGATAAAAATCATAAGTAGAAATAATGCAACAATTCCAGTCAAAATAAGAAAAGCACCATAATATATCACAAACGACAGATTATACCGAGATTTAAAAATTCATACGGTTGAGCTGTCTTGAAAGACAGTCGAACGTTTTAGTACAGGCACTTTCTAATCCATCCCAAGCACCCTGATAACTTAAAAGATTTAAACGAAACTTGCTGTAACTATTTAAAAAATGCTGGCTTCGATCAAAAAAAAAAATGAGAGAAGCTAAATCTGGCAAATAGACTAAATGTTACAGCAATTCTTACTTTAATTCATTGTGTTAATGGAAAATGGGTTTTTTCTGCTTTAATTCCTTTTTACACACATTTTTGTATGTAACTTGGACAAGAATGTACTCAGCATTCCACAAAAATTGGCGCTAACATCTTGGTCTATTAAAGACAACAAACTAACTTTAGAACCAAAGTGTCAGTTTTATACAACTTCATAGTACGTAACATACTTTTACTCTACCCAAGTCAATAGCTGGAGTATACTTAACCCCTTCAATAGTCCACTCTACAATAAAATTGAAATCACATAAATTGTTGTTTTGATTCAATTAATTTAAAACTAAAAAAAATAGGATGTAACAAAAAAAGAGGATGTCGATGTCCTGGCGATTTTCGACTAAAAAAAATACATTTAAGTGGCATTGGAGTATTTTTTGCCTAGAGACTTAGCCATTGGACTAGTTAATATACCTAGTATATTTTATATATATAATATACGTACAAATATATATATCACTGATCCAGTTCAATACGCATAAATATAACTTTCAGCTTAAGGGAGATTTTTACAAGAATAACTCCCACTTATAATAGAAAAGTATAACTTTCGGCTAGATAATATTTTTAGAAAGTAGAACTTCTGGCTAACAGCTAGGAAGTATAATTTCCACCTGGTTAGCATGTTGCAGGTATAACTGTTACCTAGACGAAATTAGTAGAAAGTATAATCTTATAAGTTCCATCTTAGTGAGTTCAAGAAGTATGTAGTAGTGCTTTGAACAGAGGATGTATCATCATCATCATTAATGGTGCAACGATCCTAATTGAATCTTGGCCTCATTTAAATGAAGTATAATTTTCTCTTAAGAATTGTTAACTTCAGTTACTTTCGTTCACTTATTTCTGACTTGGTAATCTTAAAGTAAAGCTGTGCACTCCATATCACAGGCGTAAGAACACCATTCACGTCCAAAGTTACTTAAAAAACCATCGCTTGAGAAATTATATTAGAAATATCTAAAAAACCATGGGCTACCTGAAGGCTATTTCTTAGATTATTTTATTATCAACGTTTTAATTAAAATCACCAAAATTTAATCTTGTAAAAAACCCTAAAAATTTAATAAATAAGTCATATTCTATGCAAACCTTAAGGAAACATCACTAAAAATGATTTTAAGTTATAATCCTATAGGCAGCAGTAAATCCCACCGTCCCAGAAACTCCCAGTTGAAATTGGCATCCGACAAATGCAATTAAGATTATTTGTTACGGCCTTAGTTGCTCTTAGAAATTTTATAAAGTTAATATATGTTTATATATATATAAGCGTTATCACCAAACACTGTTAATAATAGTGTCTTTCACATTCAATGACTACTGCACAAGCTCACCATTTTTATTTATGTTTAGTATATAATAAAAACATGACTGTTACTATCAACTAAAAGGTTGTTAGTAACTGAAACACCTATATGAGATAGGTTATTATATAATATCAAATGGTTTAATGATTATTTGATATGAGGTCAATTTAGCCTAGGTGTGTCGCTTTCTAAATAAAAGAACTCGATAACCATACCCAACTACCAACTTAGTCAAAAAGGCATTTAATTCTATTAATAAAATTATTTTTTATTAAAATATAATATGAAATGAACTAACCTTTTTTTATATGTAGTTAAATCTGATTTCTGCCGAAGAATTTCTCAAAAAATATCCACTTTAAGTAATCTACTTTAAGTTTATGAAATAACACTCTGTGTGTGTGTGGGTTATTCACACATCATATCATATTAAAATTTACTCAGCTAAAATATTTTATCGACTTAAATATTTTAAATAAAATAAAGCTTTAAAATTACAAAGCTAAGTTCGAATGTACTAGACTTTTTAGTAAGTTAAATAAGCTTAAGTTGGTTGTTATAGATGACTACAATATATTCACATATAGCCATTATATTTCATAATTTCAAGAGCTTTCTCATTCGTGCATGTATTAAAAGATAACATATGTGTGTATAATATCTTTAATTATTTTAGGTAGAGCTCTCCGGCTTACATTTTGTTGGCAATTATTTTAAGCCTTTCACAATTTGCACTCAAAATTAATAACAATTTGCTATAGTAAGTATTAAAATTTTGGATCTCTTTCCAGCGGCTAGATTGCGAAATTCCCAACATATAATAAATATCTATTGTTATAACTTTAGATTACATAGATATAGATATTTTTCTTTCTTTATCCAGTAAATACTACTTTAAATTATCATTCTTCCAACATGAATGCAGGAACTAAGAGCCCATCCTAAAAAACAAAATAAAAAAAATTGAATAAACAAAAAAAAATGGATAAAATAAAACTATTGTGATTACTAATATTATTGCAAAAATAAAGTTGGAAACCACTTAATAACGATATATCGTTAATATATATACATCGTTTAATTAATTCTAAGGCATGAGTAATAGTAAATCTCAAAATCAATTGTTAAGTTGTTATAGTGTTTAAATATATAGTAATTATGACTAAAGTTATTCATATATTTCATTTACACAGCAATTAGATAGAGTTCTCTAAAGTGACGTGTTCTATTATGCGCTCCTAGTATTCATGGTATCGAGGCATTATTTTTTATAGCAAACTTTAGTTGTATCTCTCCATATTATTTTTGTACTAATAATTTATAATTTATTTAAACAAGTAGAAATTTATATACTTAGCAATAAATTATGTATAGATTTATACAATATATAACCGTACGTATTCATAAAGATGAAGTAGTGACTTAGTGACTGTTACCTCCCACTAAAGATGACATAAACATGACAATTTAGGGAACCAAATAATATACTTCGATATATGATGTTAGTTTACTAAATATATTCTTTAATGATTTATATTATTTAACCATTTTTAAATTTTCTAAATAATCCAATCCTAAACATTGCCCTACGATATATTTAACTTTCAAGTCGATACAAAAAGTTTTCTTCATAATATGAAAATTGTTCCTACAAATTTTCTTATTATTCATTATTATTATTATCATTATAATTATCATCATCATTATTATTCATTCTCACATTTATTGTAGCTTAACCTGGATATATACCACATATATTAAATTGAATGAATGTAATTTTGTATTATTTCTGACAGCTAATATTTAAAAATTTTTATTACAATATCAATTGTAATGGTATTCAATGTCTTTAATTATTAATCAAATTATTTTTGTTTATAAAACGATTAAATGTATAAAATCTTTTCTGCAATAAAATATCAATAACTAAATATTTCTATTTAATTGCCCATTTATTATCATAATAATACATTACACATAAACAAAATAGTGCAAAACATAAATAATTTTCAAGATATATAGTGATGACTCTACTGAATATATATTTTACATTTTCTACATATGAACATATATTGCTTACTTAAATAATATCAATTATTAAAATTTACATTGTATACAATAGCCTTTAGTGCAAAGTATAAAAGCAAATATAAATGCGTTGGCATTTTTATACTATCAAAGATTCTGAGAATTTCTACTTTGCTCCACATTATACTTTATACTTTTGTACATGGGGCGATTGTATTCAATGGCAGGATATGCAGTTCTTACTTGTGGTTCCCGTCTTCCTACAGTATCTTTCCATATCATTGCCAATAATATATAAAATCCACCAACAATTTTGTTAAATACATCAATAAGTTTTAAAATGATGGGTGTTAGCACTCTTGTTAAGCGACTTAATTCAAATATAAACCGTAAAACAAAAGCACCTACAAATTTTATAGCAGCAAAGAAGGCGGTAACCAAGGATAAAGTAATCAAACCAATAAATTTTAATGTAGATACGATATTTTCTTTGGATATATCATTGGACATAAATTCATATGTTGTATGCTTAATGCTCCGTCCCCATTCAAAAATAACATTTATAAAATCTTGTAATCCTACTTCATTAGCAATTGTTTCTTCTTCTTTTTCAGTTTTTATATTGGAATCATTTTCGTTCACGTGCGGTAAAGCTGCACCTGTAGTTCGTGCTACAGTCGGGCTTACACGTCGTCTAAGTGGAGTACTTGTGAGCTCTGTCTCTACAGCTCGTGCCACTTTTAATTTTAATATGATTTCATTATCTCTAAATCGTACACTTTTAACCATAAACCAGTATTGACCAAAAGCTACATTTTCTAATTCTACCCAAATATATGTATCCATAGCGCCAGCTATTAATTTTGTTTTTGAAATATCGCCATGTGTTATACCAATCCATACGTTTGGTATATTTTGATAGAACAATAATATTTGCTGTCTGATTTCCATAAGTATTTTTTGAAATTCATGCTCGCTACCTTCAAGTGCAATTATATCCCGGTATGCACCAACAACGTCAACGTAACGGCGTTCTTCGTAAAAACCGCGAAATATTTTTTCTTTAAGAATTTGTTTACACGAAGACTGTAACGCATCCCTCTGAGGAATTAAATTTGGGATAGAAGTGGGACAATATGTTGGTACAGTTTTAGGTGTATTCAACATTTTGGCTGAAAGAAAAAAACATCATTAATCATTAAAAAAACAGCAATTATGTTTGTCACTCACATTTTGCAAAAGGAATTTATATTTACTAAATGTTGAAACTATGCTCTTTCTATTGAAAAAATAGTTAAACAAAGCTTAGTCATGTATGGTCTTAAATGGTTAGTTGTTGTTGCACTTTGACTCCAAAAATAATCTGTGATCTATCGGAATAAAGAAAACGTAAGTTTTTTATTTGTTTTATTTATAGCATAAAGTTCTTACTTTTTGCATAATAACAAGCCAGCAGCCAGCGTTATTTCATATTTTTTCTGAAAGTTTACTTATAATTTTTTATCTATCTTGAAAAATATGTAATTTAACTAACAAACTGTTTTTTATTTATATTCTGCAATCAAATCCAAAAAAAAAACATTTAAGAAATTTAATATGAACTGTATAGCGTCAGCTGTGGCAGTGATGCCATATGCTTTGAAATAAAATATTTATTAAATCTTTAAACATTTTCCAACTAATATTTGAGTTTATTTTAGGACTTATAAAAGTCGTCAGAACAAATATGATGATTGATCGTTGAGAAAAAATAAAGATTTCTCAACTTTTTCTTTTTTTCTAGCAAACAAATTTTTCTAGATTAGAAGATTAAAATGTATTAAATAAAGAATAAGTTTCTCAAAATTGTTTACATGGAACTCGTATTTACATTAGATGTCTTCCACAAGCTACTCCTTGTAACTTTGAGTAACACTGTGTACACACAAGTGTGTTCTACCAGCAAATTTTCGAGTAAATGAAAGCATCCGAAAGAGCGTAACATCTCTGTCGAAATTTAAAAATGTTACACAGACTTTACTAGTACATTTTATTTCAAGCAAAATTTGTCTATGTGAATCAGCTGTTTCGGTTTAAATTTAAATTTTGTGTGGTATATTTGCGCGGCACTGCTGTTCTCACCAGATTTTAGACAAAGCTGCTCCATAAAAATCTGTGTAAAGAGCTTAATTTGGCACTTTATTTGTGTTACGCTCTCAGTTTATACTTTACTTGTGTTTGACTTGAGTTTTACTACGAGTAGCTCATGGAACAGACCTAATTTATTTATATCGCCTTTAAACAACACATTTTTAAACTTTTATATTTACTTCATCAATTTTCGTTAAGTTTTAATTACAATAGCCATAATTTTTTCTTTTTCTTTCAAAGTTGGAAAAATACAGTATTAAGTTAACATATGTTTTTTGTTGTGTTGTGTGTATAATATGAAATATAAAAATTGTGAACACTTAAAATTGATTAATTTAAATAAAAGAAAACAAAATGAATATTAGAGGACATCGCAAGCATTTTTATATTATATATTCAAATTAATTTATTTATATGTGTATTTGAATTTATTAGTAAATGAAATGCTCATATGATTTTAGCGGATGACTGGAATTATGCCACATATTTCCCTTGAACCCTAACAATAGACAGATTTTTAAATTTGGCTGCAGAGCAACTTAAGACATAAAATTTTTTTCAAGTTAGAACTAACTCCGAAGATTTTAAAAGTATTGTTATTGCTTCACATTGTTTCTTTTGTAATTTGCAAGTATTTTTTTGCTACACTGAAAGATAAAATTACGGCTAATATTACACTGTTGCAATCTGTCAAGTGTTATGTTTTGGCAAACAAAAAATCTTGCAAATTTGCACATAATGCAAGCAAATTACATTTTGCATAAAAATAAATAATTAATATAAAATTAAAAATTAATATGAAAACAGAATTAAAAGGAGTGATAAGAATGTGTGTTTTCCAATTTTCAAATTTATGAAATTTTTGAATTTTGTTGGAATTTTTGTTTACATATGATTTTTGACATATGATTGCAATATTCGTTGGAATTTCCAATGAAGATTCACAATAGTTCGCTTATTGCGTTAGTAACACTTTTGTTTAGTGTTTGGCCAATACTACTGACCTAGATAGCGAAAATAGTGTTGTTAACTTGCGAGCCACTGAATACGCCTATATTTTGTTTTTATAAAAAATGTAGTTTGCTTGAAATGTAGTATGCAAAATTTGTTGTATACAAAAGCAAAACATTTGACAGATTCCATCAAGGATGTCAATATCTCGCTTGGGTAATATATAGGCCAGCTTACGTTTTTTGCAACACTTGCGAGCCACCGAAAACGCCTATTGTAGAACATTTATTTTACATAATGTTAGGTGTCAATTTGTAGCAAAAAAAAAGCGGAAAATCAAGTTTATATTAAGTGATTAACTTGCATTGATTTTAAAAATGTGATAATGAAAGATATTATATATATACTATATTAGAATTATATATATGTTTATGCAAATACAATCACTTAATAAGACTGATTAATATTTAGTTTTAAATATTGTTTTAACCATTAAATGTGCAATATAATAATGACTAATAAATATAATCTCAATTAAATAATAATACCATATATATATAATTATTTAAATATTATTTCTTTTTGCAATCCCTCTGTGGTGGCCATTGCATTTGAGGCTTTATTTTCTATAGAAAGAAGATTTGAATAGTGCTGCCAGTATATTAAAATCTTTGAAGGAAATTAAACATATATTAACTTTAACCGAAAGCGTTTAAATTCTTCAAATTTATATTTATTTATGTTCAAATATTAATATATGTAAGTTGAGTATTTTAATTAAGTGTAATAACGTTATATTGAAATAACTGATAATAAAAATTAAATTATATTTGTTTGTGTCTGAAACGCCCTGTATTGTGTTTTACATATTTTTTAATAAGTTTTCGCGTACAAAGATATTACTGAAGGACAAATTAAATAAATAATTTTTCTATATATAATTGTATATGACATAAAAAAAGTTATTTTACTGTGTTAAGTTTTAAAAGAAACATCAAAATTTATTCTAAACAAGATCTCATAAAATTTTGTAAGATGACCTTGGTAGGACTAGCGGCTCGAAAACATTTAATAAAAAAGCGGTAGGTGAATGTGTTTCTGTTAATAAATTTTAATACTCAACGATTACATATTTATTATAGTAATGCAAAACTAGCGGCTGCCTTTCCTAATGGATATCGATGTCAGAAGTGTTTGGAAGTAGGACATTGGTCATATGAGTGCACACAGAAAAGAAAATTTGTGCATCGTTCATCTCGTACAAAAATATTAAATAAGAGGCTTGCCGAGAAGAACGCTAATGATACTAATGCAACTGACATGACAGAAAATGAAAACGGCTTAGGGAAACATTCAATGCCATTTTCATTAAAAGAACCTAAATCTAAACACGCTAAACGCAACAATGTCTCATCAAGTTCCTCAGATGATATGTCAAGTAACGACAGTAGCTCTTCTAGCGATGATTCGGACTCTGATAGTGATGATTCTAGTGGCTCGGATTCTGATACGGATAGCAGTACCTCCGATTTATCATCAACCTCGTCAAGTAGCTCTGAATCAGATACTACTGACGATGATAAAATTTCGAAAAAGAACTCTTCAAGCTCATCATCTTCTCTTGATGAAGATGATATATAATTTCCATACTCATTAGATTAGTTTCAATTACATACATAGTTTATATATGTACATTATATGCATAATAAAATAATATATTCATAAAACTTTATTTTTCTATTTTTTATTACATATAAAACTTGCTACCTGTAAAAATGTTGCCGCTATGTGCTTGGAAACAAATGAGCTATGTAAATCCAGCTTGGTATGTGTTAATTAATTGCTGACAAGCTGCGGGCATATAATATTTAAACGCTATTAACAATTTATATAAAACAGAGTGTACTCAAAATACAGTAGCAAAGGTGTTGACTATTTGCACAAATAATTTTGTAGGATCTATTTCTTGCTACTGCTTTTAATAAATTATGCTTTTACAATTATGAAAGCGTATATTATATAAAATTAACACTTTTTAATCATAAAAAGATTTTATAAACATAATTTATATATTAAGAAATCAACAGCATCAGATCTTCTGCAATACTTTGAACCAGAAACAACTTCCTACCCGACAAACAAATATTTTATGTGCTTAATAAAAACTAAAACGCAATGTCCAAACCTATTTTTAATAGCTATATAAATTAATTTTTTATTTAGAATTTAAAATTCATTGATTAACATTCATTGATAAATTAACAGTCTTTTTATTTACATCAACTTCGACGATGCACATTTTGAAGTCCAAAATTATTTTTCATCAACTTCATCCATGCAAAATGTCAAAAATTTATCTAAATCCAATTTGTCTTCATTACTGCACTGAAAAGTGGATTCATTTCCGTCTTGAAAAAATTCTTTCGATACGTCGTCAGTTTTATGCATTACTTTATCTTTTGTCTTTACGCTTGAGGTATTATCTTCAGGCTCTAACTGTGCTTGAATATTAAGCAGTTGCAGCCGTTCAATCTAGTAAAAAAAAAATATTTTATTTGAATTTGTATTATTATTAACGCCGCTTATACCTTTAATTCATTTAATGAAACGTTCATCCGCTCAATAGTTCGTGTCATCGTCTTTTCCAACTTTGTAAGCACCGCTTGATCTTTTAGAATTTCGGAATTCTTTTGAGCAATATTTAATTTTGTGCTGGTCATATCGACTTGTTTACTACTTTCTCTGCTATCAACAAATAATCTGAGTGTCCTGAGAACCACAAAAATAAAGTTGTCATTTTAAAGGAAAGGTAAAAACAGAACAAGCACAGGCCGAAGCGAGAATATTGAAATTAACGTAATAAAATTACTTATAGATGTTGCATATACATAATGATTAAATTTTGGCCGCGTGCGAGTTCGAGTAAATTAGATAAATATTAGGTAAATTTGGTGTTACAATTGTGAAAATTGTATAAGACGTTTAGTAAATAAATAAATAAATTTGAAAACTATTAACCAAAAATAATAAACAAGTGAAATATATATATATTTACATACGTGCAGTGCAAAAAATCCGTAGGAAATTTTAATTTACTTTACCTCAATTTTCTCGAACTCGCACACGGCGATAATTTTAATATGTTTAATATATACAAATAAATTATAATACACATAAAATAATTTTTTTAAGAGCCATATTAAATAAATAAAGTAATCGATAAAAAAATTGTGCAGCTTTAAAGCAAAATACAAGCTATGACTAAAAAGGGTATGTTCACGATTTTACATATAAGAAGAGCAAAAGAACAAATCGTAACTATATACACGAAAAAGCCGTCAACTTTTCATTTTTCCTTTCAATTCTAATAGTACATTCAGACTGTCTCATTTAGGCACTTGCTCATTTATATTAATAAGTGAACGTTCACATCATATACACATATGAGATTATGTAGTCTTAATTGTGAACAGTCTTTACACATAAAACTATGGCTGATATTAATTTCAAAATGATTCGATTATAAAAAGTATTTTTGAATATAGCATATATCGTTCTATAGATAAAAATACTTTCTGTTATTATTTGTAGTTTATTGGTTTTCCAACTTCTCGGTAAACTTGTATCCTCCTTTAACCTGTCAAAAACAAAATACATAACAAAAAAAAAACCGCAAAAATATTGCCGCAAGAACAACAACTAATGGGAGCAAGGACAAAACAAACTGAGAAAAATCAATAAAAACTCTCATTTTTAATATTACTTGCAAATGTTTGTGCGTATGTCCTGTTAATTGCATTTATAAACGGAAAGGCGTATTTACTTTGTTGCAGTCCAGTGAAAGGACTTCAAATCATTTTTTAAATTAAAATACGTAAAAGCAAACGGGAAGGATGTACAGCACAGAAAATATACGAAGTTGTTAAATTTTTTATTAAATATAAAACAAGTTTTACAAAAACTTATCAAAGATTTGTCAGTTCATGAAATATTTATTCTAAACAAAATGGTCAGTAAACTTGCAATAAATAACGAAGTAAACGTTGTCAAGGACCGCCCAGTTTTCATACCACCAAGAAAGCGTCAATCTTCAAAGAAGACAAATGGAGCACAGAACTATGTTGACCATATTGTTAATGTACAGGTAATTATAATTATATTAATTTATTATATAATAATCACCACTCGATGTGTGTATATTTATAATTTTCAATTTTATATATATTTTTTTTTTACAATAAAAGCGAAAATCTTATAAAATTAGCCACTCTCGACTAAGAGTCTTTGCTAACTAGCAAAGTTCCTTCAAAGTCGTAAGTTGTCGATTGGTAACTATATAATAATAAGTTCATCTTGGTGATGCACAGTTTTATTCCAAATACGATTATCAATGGGAGATTGTAGGCAACTTTCTTCAAAAATATTTATTCTATTAATTTATCCACTTTATTGTTTTACAACAAAACAATGAAACCAACGCCATTATTAATGTAATCTACTTAATGCAGGTTTCAAAAGACAGAGTGTCAATTTAAAATTGAATATTTATCAGTGAATCAGTGAAGACCACTGATGATGATTAAAAATTAAATAAAAATAATATAATAAAACAAATTTGTTGTTGTAGTTCACTACTTTTCGAAACCTCTCTACCAAATATATTTTTATAAAATATATTCTCTATTGTATTGTTAATAACAGAAAATTTTTTCATCACTATAAGTACGTTTTAAAGGCACTAGCAGCATTGGCACACACATTAATAAAGCAATTCTTACATTCAAAATCGTCTGATAGTCCCAAGAAATCGCTATAAAAACTAGACTACATACCTACAACATCGTAGTCTAATCTGCACTCTAGTACGTCGGCCAACCTAGTACGTATGCGTATACAAGCTTGTAATAAAGATCAAATCGTGATACTGTTTTGATATGATATTAACCATGTATATATACTTAACCAATACAATGTAATCAAGAAAATGTTTTATATTCATTTCATATACTACAGACCTAACAAATTTATTTAATATTTTCTTTAATTTTATTTATTTATTGAATCTTTTTAATATTTTTTGCATCCATATTACTCACTAACTATTTCAACGCGTATATTTCACCATTCTAAGTAGCTAAGTTTTTTTGGTGGATTTTTCCTTGATTTATATGGTGAGATATACCTCACCATTCTATGTAGCTGATTTTTTATTTATTGGTTTTCCCTTAATTTATATTATAGTAAAATTAATTTTTTATTTCTATTTATTCAGCATCGCCAAAAACTCTCACCATCTAATCCAGGACTTGAGGAAGATCTATTAAAAACATCTTTAATTTTAAAAAATAAACAGCCACTGCCACAAATACCTGGAATTGCTACTGTTGACACAAATATCGAGGAAAAATCAGTTCACTCTCTACATCAAAGTACAAAATCGTCACAATCAGTTGATAATATATACGAAGATGATAATGAGTTGCGAAATTTTGATAATAGTCTAAAACCGCATAATCACCATTTTGAGAGTTCAACTGTTACACCGACGAGTTTTTCGGAAAGTAGTCTTGATGTAAAACTAAGTAAGTCCCACGATTGTTTAAGTAATCGTTCCGCATCTAAAAAACGTGTAAATATACACACCGATTTACCTACATATCAACTACGTAATAGCCCAAGACTTTCACCTGAAATAGCCAATTATGAAGATGTTGAGTCTGGTGAAACAAGTGTACTCAATATTGACATGCAGAGTCTGGAACGGTTTAATACAAGACGTTCAATGGATAGTAACTATTTAACAATGACTGGTAATTAAATATGCAATTTGAAATAAGTTAATTAAATAAACTAAATAAATGATCATGCACTTTTGCAGGCACTATTAAACGTGGACGCAAGAAGGGACAAAATTTGGATCTACAAATTAATATAAGCCGAGAAGAATTAGAACAAATCAATGCTACTGCCATTGCGACTGAAGTAAAGAAGAAACAAAATCTATGCTTCACTTGTTCCTTAAATACTGGTTTGCATATCCTACTTTTATCACTTGTGAGTCTTCCATTTGTAACAATAATTTCAAGCATATACTCATTTTACATTGGCACATTAACCTGGTATAATATGTTCAGTCTCTTCAATGAGGAGAAGTCATATTTGCATAGAGTTTTTATGAGTCCGATATTAATAATAGCATATCCAGTTGGTATTATTCTTTGCACAGTCGGTTTAGGAATTTATGCTGGCATTGTGCAGATTAGTTTACAATTTAATAGTTGGTTAAACGAGGTAGCAGATATTGAAAAAGGTTTTTATGGTTGGTTGTGTTCCTTTTTGCACATGTCAGATTGTAGTCCATATGAGGTTATTATTTTGACGGATATACGTTTGCCTAATGACGAAGAAACGCAAAGACACCACGTGAATACTTCAACAGAGGAATTATCATTGTAAATGATAGCATTACTGCTATATCAGATTGAATGGGATAGTGTCCGAAGCCGTCGTCGTAGCAAGTGATATACGAATAGAACTGTGGTTTAATGTAACAAAAATAATAATGAATATATACAAACCAAATACAAATCTTAGTCAATACAAATTTATTTAATAATGGTTTTGTATTTTCAACAAAAATGGGTGATAACAGCCAGTTAATGTGAACTAAGTTTCCTTTACGTAAATTTTTAATTCCTCTTTGAAACAAAATTTAAGTAGTTTTCTAGTCGCATAGCTTGTAAGATTTCGTAAACGATTTAAACGATTTACAGTTATATGATTTTATTAAAAATAATTAGCATAAAAAGTTTCTAATTACACATAAACCAAAGATTATACATATACAACTCTATATATACAAAATAACAAAAATTAAATATTTTTCCATGCATAATAAAATTATGAAAGTTTTAATATATCGCTAATATATGCAAAAGATTTATATTATATATTTTAAGTCTTAAAATTAAAAATGGAATATCAGTTGTAAAAGTTTATATATCCTATTAGACCGATTTATTATTGTATAATATATAATGTGTATTATTTTTTACATATTAAGAGAACAAAAATGTTGCATTTATTTAAAAAGTAATAAATATTAAAATGCATTTATTTTAATAAAAATAAAAAAATAAACGTTTCCATTATATATAAGCAAATAAATTTTTTTATTACTAAATGTTTGTATTTACTTATAAACACTTGAATGCCAAATTGATTTTTAAATGCTTTTGCAGGAAATTTTTTATGTAAAAATATATGTCGAATTATATTATGTACCGAAATTAATTAATAACAACATATTATTGTAAATATATTGTGTATGTTAAAAACTCTTAATAATATCAATAATCTTAATATGAAAATTATAAAAAAAAGTTATCTGCTAGTAAATATGCCAAATAAAATTTAGTCACAAATGTATATAAATATTTTTTCAATGAAATTAATATTTTTATATGATCTATATACAGTCAAACTTCCATAACTCGAATTTTCTATAAGTTGAACGAAATAGAGTGGGTTTAGAGAGAAAATTACATACAATTACAAAAAAATTCTTTAACTTATTCTTTAAATTCTTTAACATAAGTCGAACCTTTTCTTTGCAAAACGGTACTTCGAGTTATGAAAGTTTGACTGTATATATGTTATATATATATATGTATCTCAAACTGTACTTTTTAAAAAAAAATTTTATGCTTCTAATCTTACGCATAGAACTGACTCTTAAAGATAATAGTAAAGATAACACTACCTCAATTAATCCGTTTTCAGTAGTAATTTCAATAATTGTGTACCAAATAGCAACTGTTCCTATACAAAATTATTCGATATAATAAAATTAGAACAGCAAAATCATCAATTAATTAACTTTAATTAGAATAATGCTGCCGATACGAGAACATTTTTTAGTTGCGTATGCGTGAACCGAACGTTACGGATGGCAGAATCAACGTGAGTGATGAAGTTGTGTCAAGGAGATAACACACCGAGATACTTGAACTTGTTGACAAGCGGAATGGAGGTATTGTCGATCTCTAATTGTGTGTGTGGCATTAAAGTTGCGAGGACGACCTCAGCTTAATCTTCCACCTGGTGTAGTAGTTGACAAGAGTACAAGAGCGGCTTTAAGCCCATTGGAGATTCGACTTTGGTTTGACGACCGCATGAAGACGATGCAGTCATTGGTAAATCAGATCTGGTAGTCTTGGTCATCACCTTATTTAAAATGTGTAAAAAATGCGTGAGCTGGCAGGTTGCAAATAATACCACAAAACAGTAAATGAAGTAAATATAAAATCTTTTGAAATAATGGAAATTTACTTTAATTTAATGCTCTTTGTTTTAATCAACTCCACGCAGAATTCAAATTCATACCTAAAGCATATTAGTTTAGTGCAGGGCTGTCCAAAGCATGACCCCTGAGCCACATGCAGCCCGCTTTTGGTGTATTGGTAAAACCACATTATTTTATTTTTATGGTATACCAAATACATAAATTTAAATTAATAAAACTATATTTAACATTATATATTTATATATATATATACTATATATTTATATATATATATACTATATATATTTATATATATATATACTATATATATAAATATATACTATATTTAACCGTATTTTCATTTTTGTCGAAAACAACTATGAACGTTTCTGCGGCCCTCCAATCTCAGCCCTAGTTTAGAGGATCAAGTGATTTTATTTGCAGTAGCAAGCAACGTCACCTAAATTTTTAATTCAAATATATTTCAATATGAAAAATACTTGATATAAAGCAGAGCTGTCCAAAGCACGGCCCCCGGGGCACATGGGCCCGCGGCTAATTCATGTACCAGGGTCCGCGGCACTGCTAAAACCACATTATTTTATTTTTATGGTATACCAAATACATAAATTTAAATTAATAAAACTATATTTAACATTATAACCGTATTTCGACCGTTTGTCGAAAACGACTATGAACGTATGTATTTGTTTCTGCGGCCCACCAATCTGTACATCTTGTCTGGATAGCCCCGATATAAAGGATAAGGATGTAAAAAAAAATATGTTTAGTCAAAACTGTCTCGTACTTTCGTATTATCTCACTTCAAAATTTATGTTATTGAGAAATTAATTATTGTGGTGGTCCTAAACGTATGCGCAGCAGTGTAGGTTTTTAAAAGCTAATAATACACGAATATAATTACGATATATATATATATATATATATATATATAAATACACATTGTAAATATTTTCTTATTTCTTTTTCTAATCTTAATTCCCTGCATTACACCGGTCAATATTCAAAAAAAGCTTTGCCTCACATGGCAGATTAAAGTTGCATTCTTATCAGTGACGTAAATTCTCAACAGTTTGACATTGTGCGGCTTTTTTGATTGTGCTTCATCTATGCATATTTTTTATTACTCACTCAACTCGTTTCCAATTGTCAACATTCGCTACTGCCGTGTGGCTGTGAGAGCGGGGGATGCTCTGTGGTTGTGTAGTGTTTTCTGCGTAGCTTGGCATTCAAAACTGATGACATCGAAATTTGTTCTAAACTTTATTGAACAATAAACAATAAACAAGCAAAATATAAAGATTTAATAGTAAAAAGCGCTTTTATTGTGTTTTTTAAATAAAAAATAAATTTGTATAAATAAATTGGAATGCAAATATCACTTTAGAGCACTTCAAATACGACTAAACAAATCGAGCGAATAAAAATCGTTTGAATAATTTTGTTCAGTTCGTTTGAGACAACAAAGTTGGAAACGTTTGCGTTAGTGAGATTTTTTATAATAAAAATTTAAAAAAAAAGTTAAATGGAATTTAATGTGCTTTTTTTTTTATAAATAATTGTAATTTTTTCAACTTTTTAGAACACAACACATCAAAAATGTCAACTGATAATTTAACAGCAGTTCTTCACGGTATAGAAGACTTACGTTTGGTGAGTGTTTACTTATAAAGATATATAAGATTGGTATATAAAAAGCATAATAGTGAAAAGCCCATATTTTAAAAAAATAACTGATAGTAAAAAAAGTCTTCATCAAGATTCATTAAGCAGTCACATAGTTAGGAGGAGCGAACCAAGCATCCATAATCACATGACTATGACAGTTGAATAATATAGGCATTTTTATTCATTTTTATTTTATTTTATTTTATTTTATTTTTTTATTTTTTTACTGAAATTACCTAAAAACTGGTAAAAGTTTCTGGTAACGAGCATTTGAAATTATTTAAGCTATAATCATGAATTATATAGTTTAATTCTAAAATTCGGTTATTAAGTTTATGCCTAAGGTGCAGTCCACTTTTTATTAAAATGGTTACATTGCGAAACGTGTTTTTTTTCATCCAAAAAACAGAAACGAATCATATAGAAGAAAATGTCAAAAAAACTTTATATTTCAAGTTCGCATCTGACCTGGACAGACCTGATCTAGATCTGAAGCTTATTTTTGTATATTAACAATACTTTTTTTCCTTGTAAATTTATGAAATTTCCTTCATAAATTACCATAAACTACATATAGCTTTTGTCTATATATAGACTACAAAGTAAAATAAAGTAAAATACGCTAAAATTACCCGTGAGTCTAAAAAACTTAAAAAATCAATATTTTCAATATTAATTAATATACAGAAAGCCAAAAAGTTTCCTATAATAAAATTAATGGTCGCAATATTATTTCCAGAATATTAGAAATATTATCTCTGAACTATATATTATTTAGTTTGATAGTTTGTACGTGGTAGCCATTCTGTAAAAATATTGGCTTACTTGAGTTCCATTTAATGTAATAAATATTCTATAATTTTGTGAGTTAAATTTTATAATCGATTATTCTAGTTTGAGGACTAGAAAAAAATTTATTTGGGAAATGTAATTATTTTAGATAATCTCAATTATAACTTGGAATTAATGTAGATTTCTCTTGTTCGTATATCAACATCATATCTTACGAATAACTGACCTATTAAGTAAATTTGGAATATATGAGTATTACGTAATAATTATTCCTTTTATGCTTCACTTTAGATATTTTTTGACTTGGAGGATTTTTTTCGAATGCTCTCTATTTCGGTTGATAGTAAAATGTACAACCGAACTCTTATTATAATATTTTTTTAATTCTTTGACCAAAGAAATATCTTTTGCATTCATTCCATTTGGTTAGAAAGCATATAATATTGATTTTCTCTGTATACATTATTTGTTTTAGCCGTTAAAGTTATCTATCCTTCACTTGACCCTGTTATTTACAATAGATAAGGAAACTATATTTTGTTGGTTTACTCGTATATAATCATTATTTACAGTTTAAGATTAGAAGATCTTGTTGTCAAATATGTATATACGTATATTTCAATAAGAATTTTATTTGAAAGTATATAAGGGAAATAAAATGTAATATGTAAATTAGAAATCGGCTTTAGTGAACAAGTTCATAAAAAATTAAAATACGTTTTTTGACTTCTGATAATTGATATGTTGTTGATAATTCATGTTGTTGTTGTTCTAACCTGCGGGGACTTAAAAGTAAATAACATGAAGATGAATACAAGACGAATACATGGGTTACGAAGTGGTTGTGTGATGGTTGAAGGTAGGAGAGGGGAGAGTGGGGTAGAAATAAGGGAGAAGGGGTGGATTGTTGATGGGTGAGACTTAAATTGAAATCAACCCAAGTCCAGATAGAGGATCCTGGTCACTTCAGAGGGTGAGTCCAAAGGAGGTCAAATCATATTCTTGATCAATATAGCCCATTTCAAATGTATAAATTTAAAAACTTGTGAACTTTACGTAATCTACTCAACAAAATATAATATATTTTAAAATCAAATGTTTAACTGATTAAAATGTTTTATGCTTCTTTATGGTAAGAAGAATTTTAGTAATTAAGGACGTGTGCGAGTAAGGCTAAGTTGATGCTAAACCAAACGGGAGATCTTTTGGGATTTTTTGCACTGCACACATTTAGCCATTTATCAACACGTATCGACACATCCCTACATTATTGACACAACTTAGAATTTCCCTCATTCATTTTCCAAATTAAAGGAAATGCAATCAAAGATCGACCCCTGGTAATATTTTGTCTTGTTCTTACTGAGTCACTGCCTTCATTATATGCAGTAATTATTATTGTCTTTAATATTGAATCTTAGTTTTCCATAGTTAATATAAATAGGCACATCTGTTTTAAAATCAATACCTATTTCAATTATTTTGGTACAAAAGGTACCGATTATATATCATAAAGATGTTCTTTAACTATTAGAACTATTGTTAAACCAATTGTAGTAGCATATTTCTTGGAACTCTTTACAATTTTCTTGAATATATGCTAATAGAATTGGTTTAATATAATCATTAAAGTCCTATGAAAATTATGGGTGTTAGAATATATTGTTTGTTTTGAAGTATGAATTTAAGGAACCTGTGACTGTTACAAGATAACACAAATGTAAAATCTATCATGTACTACGGCTGTGAAATATGGAAGCACTCCAGACATATAGATGGAATGGAATCCAAAAGATAGCAGGCCTGATGCGCCAGCAAAAGCGTGGAGTAGAACGGTCGAAAATGGAGCACAATATATATGGAACTACATCTACAGAGAAGCACCAAATAGTGCCAGATTTAAAAAAATTATTGAGGCTACCTGCCTCACTGGGGGAAGTGAACAATAGTATTAGAAGTAGATTTCCCGTACAATTATCGTACAGAAAATTATAGCGTGTTTATCTCGCTAAGTATATTTTAGATGCTTTTATATGTATGTTAACCTATAAAATGTAACATTCTTTTCTAGTAATACTACTTATAATTTTTTCTCTCATTTAATGGATTTTATTTTTCTTTCATATTAATGGGCTACAATATCTCGATATATTTTGTTTTAATAAGAAATGTTTTGATTTTAAATATTTACAGGAACAACGACCAATTCCTGAAATATCAGAAAATGGTTAGTATTCAATTTAAAATTGCTATCAATGACTATTATTTACCATAGAATTTTTATAATATTTAGATGTACTGCTGGCTATGGATTCAGTTGGCATATGCGGTTCCGATGTACACTATTTAGTCAATGGACGTATTGGTGATTTCATTTTAACTAAACCTATGGTGATTGGCCATGAGGCTTCCGGTGTGGTTGTGAAATTGGGCTCAAAAGTAAAGCATTTAACTGTAGGCGATCGTGTAGCAATTGAACCTGGTGTACCCTGCCGTTTGTGTACACACTGCAAAACTGGCAAATATAATTTATGTGCTGAAATGGTGTTTTGTGCCACACCGCCATACGATGGCAATTTAACACGCTTTTACAGACACCCTGCAGATTTTTGTTTTAAACTACCTGATCATGTATCCATGGAAGAGGGTGCTCTACTTGAACCACTATCGGTGGGTGTACATGCATGTCGACGTGCAGAAGTTGGGCTTGGTTCTGTAGTTCTTATTATGGGTGCAGGTCCGATAGGTTTGGTTACTTTACTTACCGCCAAAGCTATGGGTGCTTCGGTAATTCTAATAACTGATTTAGTACAAAACCGTTTGGATGTAGCAAAAGAGCTGGGTGCTACACATACTTTGCTATTAAACAAGAATGATACCGCTGAAAATACAGCTTCGATTATACACAAAATGTTAGGTACGGATCCGGATAAGTCCATAGATTGCTGCGGTGCAGAGTCTACAACGCGGTTAGGAATTTTTGTAAGTATTTTTATATCATTTGTTTTTTGAGATAATTTGTGAGAATTTGATAAATTTTAGGCTACACGTTCTGGTGGTTGTTGCGTTATTGTAGGCATGGGCGCCCCAGAGGTGAAGCTACCTCTTATTAATGCCTTAGCTAGAGAAGTGGATATACGCGGTGTTTTTCGTTATTGCAATGAGTAATACAATTTCAATATTCGTATGATAGTTTTATTAATTGTGAATTTTATTATTAGTTACTCAGCTGCCTTAGCTTTGGTGGCTTCTGGAGCAGTTAATGTTAAGCCATTAATAACACATCACTTTGATATAACTGAAACGACAAAAGCATTCGATACTGCACGATATGGTCATGGTGACGCTATTAAGGTCATGATACACGTTCTGCCGAGAAACACAAATAATAACTGAAATCACTTGGAAATAAAGTAATAAGTAATAAAATTGTATTTTTGTACCACTTATTAAGCAAGAAATATTATTATTATAAATTTCACTGTAAATTAAATTTTGTAAAAATATTTTATTTATTTATTTTAAACTAGATTTAAAATTAGATCCCTAAAATGCAGAACTATTACATAAAAATTGAGCAAAATCGCATTTAAAAGAACACAATGCAATGGCATCCTAAATCGACAAAACGGGTGCTGTGGGTTAGATTTTGAAAACTTATGATAAGTCTTAAGTAAAACTTTAAATCAATTTAAATCATTACAGTTTATTTAAAATAACACTTCAACACTTCAACTAAATAATGTATACTTATGGAAGTTAAAGTGAATTTGTTTACACCTGTTATATGGATTATTCCACATATTTGTCAAATTAAGTTTTGTCTTACTGTGTATTAAGGCAAATAAGAGACAAATATCACAGTTTTTGTTTAGGAATTTATCCTACACACAAAGTAACGCTTCCTGTTTACACTCTTTCAAGTGCACTGAAGCTAACTTACTGTGTATGCTGATTCAGCTATGATCACTACAGTCAAGCTGCACACAGCATTCTTTAGTTACTTCATAAACGATGTTGCGCTTATGGTTCCTCTTATAGGAATCAACTTAGATACGACAAACATCACCACACAAAGTTGTTGGCTTGGTTTGGTTAGCTTTTGCCTGACTCTTTAAATTCAGTTCAAGTCAAGCCAACAAACAAACTGATCGTAGTTTCAGTGTATAACACACCTATACTTGGGAAAATCATACTTCCAGTCTTGTTTATTGTAGTGAGTATAAATATGATGATAGGATGAACTGATGTTTCTCAGAAACTGTTTTATCTATTTTAAGAAGATCTATGATTATATATGCATATCTAGCTGCCATCTTGATTTGTTTTTAGGTATCTAGGTGTTATTCTGAATTTTAGACACGTTGATCAATTTCAATTTATACTTCTTAGTAAATATGCGTTCATAATTATTAATAAAATATATTTTAATTGTGTTTGTATTTTGAATATTTATAGGAAATATTTAGCGTACAAAATAATAAATTACTGATTATAAATTTATAATTTTCATTACATTTTAAATGCGCTGTGAAGACTTTATAAACACATACAAATACTTTGTTTAAAACAAATAATTTTAATAAATTGCAAATAATATTGAATATTTTTCAATAATGGCTACATATTCTAATATTTATAAATTTTATATAAAAATATTGAGTTTTATATATATAAAATTATTAAAAGGTATATATGCTACAGAACTACCACCCATACATATAAATGGGAAATACACATTAACTTGTAATTAATTGTGCGTTTAATTGAATGAATTCATATTAGGCACTCGTACTTTACTTAGTTGTTTTATATTTTAAAATAAAATTTTGTTTTTATTTTTTTTTTCAATATTAAATTAAATTTAACTTTAATAAGCATTGCGGACGGCAATTAGTACGCGTTAAAAAGCTACCAAATATATACAGTATATGTTTATATAATTATCTTTTAAAAAAACAAAATTAATTAACTTAGCTTCCAATATTTATATTTTAGCTTTACTGTAAAAAATAAAGTTAATTTAAGAGATTCATGACTAAAATTTAATATCAAAAATTGTTCTTGGGTAGGGAACCTTTTAGTGAAAATTAGCAATCAACTTCACTAATTACGTTTATGCAAATAAATGCATATTTTGCAAATAGAATTCTTGGAAAAATGAAATTTGCGCGCGGTATAGGAAGCAACAATAAATGCATTATACTATGCATTTTTTTAATTAATAAATACATATGTTTAAAAAAAAAATAAGAATTATGGATTCATTTACTAACGTCTTTTGTTTCATATTGCGTATACCTATATATACGTTTATACAAACATATATATACATATATATATCTATGTGTAAATATCACTTAAAAATTGGCTGCTGGAGCACTTGGATTGAATTGAAATGTAGGATAACGTGGTGCAAAATTTCCATCTCCAATAATTTTTGTATGCTCCGAATCATCTTGTCCAGTTATTTTTGGGGCTTTGAATTTCGTCTCCACAAATTGTGGTGGCGCTAAAGATGTACAAAAAATATTTTTATCATAAAATATAATTAAATTATATTATTTTAATTTACGTATGTTTGGATACAATTGAGCACCAGCACTATCAGCTACATTCCATCCCAGAGCACCACCAGCACCATTTGGTGGACTTGCTGGTGAACACGCAGCTGTTGGCGCTGAAGATGGATCATCTTGCTGTTGTGGTGCTACTTGAGCTGGCACATCCGTATATGGAACTGGAGGCTTAAAGGAAGCCAATGGAATTGTACCTAAAGTAATAGGTATATTACCAGTCAAATTGCGATGTGGACCACTAACTTCACATTCAATCTGCAAAAAACAAGAAGAGTATGTATAAAAAATTTATATATTTGTAAAAAAGTAGTAATGTAAAACTTTTTTAATTTCGGTTAAACATATGCATAAATAAAATTTAAAATATTTTAAAACAAAATTAATAAAATGATACATACAAACTGTATTCATATTATTATGAATAGTAAATAATTTAAAAAACTTAAAATAAAATTTTATAAAAATTATGATGTTGATTAATTTTATTTTTAAAGTATATTTTAATATAATTTATTATCAAATAATAAATAATGTTATAATAATATAACATTATAACAATATATATAATATAAAATATAATATAATATAACAATAATATAAAATTATAACATAAAATTTTAAAAATAATATAAAATTATAATAATAATATAAAATATAAAAAAAAAAAAATATTAAAACTAAAGATAGTTACCAAAAAGCAATATTACACTTAAATTCATAAACTGATCCAAAATATATGTTACTTTAAAAATAAATATATTTCAATTTTACTAAACATATATAATATCAACAATAAAAATAAAATAGCCCAAATATTGAATTGAATGTATAACATTTAAATTAATATATTAAATATAATTATAATTATATATAATTATTATTCATAAATAATTAATTTATAGGATATATATATATATATATAAAATAAATAAAGAATTAAAAAAAATTATTTAACAGGAATATCATTATAAAAAAGAATTATATTGTATATTATTCAAATAAAATAATAATTATACTTAGAATATATAAGAAATAAATAAAACATGTTAATAGAAATGATTGTAACCTTAAAAATTTAAATTAAAGTTTAATTAAAATTAAAAATGTAAAATTTAATTGCTTTGCAAAATTGTTGAGGATAACTTTTTTTAATAATATTTTTATCAGATTACTTTTTAGTTTTTTATTCATTTTATATAGTTATTTCTTATACATATTAACTATATAAAACATATATAAATAATAAACTAACTAAAAGTTCATTTAATAGTTTATAAAAAGCTTATAATAATTTTAATTTATTTAATAAACTAAATAATTTATTTATAATAATAAATAAAATGATATACTTATATATATAATAAAATATATGGCTTATATGCATAAACTTATTTCGATATATATGTATTTTTTTAATTTACATGCAAATCATAGTCCAACGCAATGATGCCACAATTCATCAAATTTGTTGGCGGCAACGGTGGCACCTCCAATTGTTGATTAAACGTACGAGATTCGCCATTAGACACGGGTCCGATACTTAATTCCGAAATAGTTATCTTACTTTCTTTCTTTTCTCTTCGTGGTTGTGTAGTATGAAACGTTACACGTTTACGTAACACAAATTTAACGGAATTAATGGTAACATTACTTGCATTGTCACACTCACAAGTAATGGGTACAATTTGACCCGAAACATAACCAGTTACTGGAACCGATGTTATAACTTGTAGTGGACCAGAACGACAACAAAAACAACAAAAAGTTTTTTCCAAATCCAATTTAAACGGCTCCTGAATAAATAGCATTAACATTCAATTATAAAATTTTTTTGATTGTACCAAATTGGAGTTTGACATACCTTTACACGTGGATTTAAATTTAGATCCACTGGCGCAATTACAGTGAAAGCCATTTTCATGTCTTGATCAAATTTCCATGGACGATCTAGCGTTACCTTGATTGTATAACGCACATGGCCAAATTCACCTTCAAACGATGACGGTAATGTCGGAGGCAATGCGCAAGTGAATGGATACGTGTGAGTGCCAGCGGGTAATTCGATTTCGGCACCTATTATAAGCAATGTGAATATTACAAGCTTACATATTATATAATTTTTATAAAAATACTTACTATTTTTACCGCCAAGTAAATAATATTGTATTTGAAAATATTCTTCATGTCCTTTAAGGTATTCTGTTTCATCTTCAGTTTTGCCTTCACTGTTTGTGACACTACGCGTTTCAGACCACTCCGTATTAGCTTCACCTAGAAACCTTATGATAATACCTAAACAATTTTTTTATAGAATATAAACAATTTTAGTATTTTAAAAAATAATTTCATATAGAGTATTATAATATAATAAATTTTAAAGATTTTATTTTAAAAAGAAATATACTCGTCTAGGTCAATGGATCATAAAATAAAAATATTGATTTATTTTTGTTGTTGTTTTGATTGCTAAAAAAGGGCTGAACCAATTTATTTACTTCGTGTAGACAAAGTTTAGTAACTTATTTATAAGTTTTTTTGATAATTTAATTATTTTCTTTATTTTATCTTGGCTCTTTATTACTTTCCTAATAATTGTTGTTGTGAATGCTAAAAATATATGAGCGCTACTGTTTGGTATGTGATTTATGTATGCTGACTACTCAGACGTCTGTGGGATGACATCATCATGATGTGCAATTGTTTTTATAATAATAAAAATTAGCTATTATTAATGAAATCATACATAATTTACTATAAGGTGTACTTCTTTTTGCCTCATTTTATTATAAATATTATATATAGAAAACAAAAATTAATGGAATTTTGTATTTAATGCCATTTATAAATTTTTAATAGATTAATAAAATATTTCTATATGTTTATAAATAGCTACCCTCTAGTGCAATGTCCCAATTTCCTAAACTTTTAGAACAAAGAAGAATAGTTACACCGGCATAAGCACACAAGCAAAACTTAACAAAAATATTCCAAAAATCATATACAAACAGCCAATAATAACAACAACAACAATAACATGTGGCAGGTTTGATTTCTAATGGGAGTGAGGTCAGTGCAAGAGAAAGTGCAATTATGTACCTGGTATTCAAACAAAAGATATGAAAATTTTTTTGGTACTGTATAAATCTGTTGTCGTCACTAAATGACTAATTTATTTGAATAACTCATATTCAAATACAAATATATACATATATATAAGAATATTCTTCTCGAAAATAATTACATACCTCGCACTTTTTTTGGTGCATCGAACGTTATTTTTACTTGTCCATTAACTGTTTGTCCGGCATAATAAGTATTCCATGGATTGTCCAACTGAATTTCACAACCTTTTATACCCATTTTACTAAAACTGTTTGCAATTTAAGAAATTAAATTCGATCAGTCAATTCCTAGGCAAGTTTCTAAACACTCTCCGGTTATGTTACTGCAGTCTAATGTGAATGATTACACACCCAAAATGTTGAAAGAAGAAGCAGCAATCGCGGATAAACATTGTTGCCAAATTTTATGCAAAAAGAAATATTTAATATGGAAACACTGATTTCCATATGTTTAAGTAATGCGGGAACAATACATTACATATTCCTAGAGGTTACACAAGCTGCAATTTTCGAAAGTCCGAATAATTACTAGTATAATAACATGTTCCCATTGCCTTCGTTAAAGCAATATATTTAATTTAGGTAGCTGATACGGCATTTACAATGGCTCATTTTGGTCAAAAATGAAAAGCAAATGACTCATTTTTGCATACAAAATATCAAACGCAAATGAGATCCAATGAACTTCTAATTGAAACTAAAAATATATTTTAAGTTTATATTGTCAGATTTTAAGTAATATTTAACCTTTATCCAACATTTTTGGCACAGGCCAAAAATCAAATCAATAACCAAGTTGAAAAATCAACTGTTTGTAATGAGAACAAATGAATTACAATGAATAGAAACAGTTTCAAATGACTTATTTGAAATGAGTCATTTTCGGCCAGTGTAAACGCCATATAAAGCCCATGTTATGTAGGCCGTCTGTTATGTAGACTGTGACATATTGTTTTTTCTCTCAATCTTAATTTTATTATTTGCATTGAAAACAACAACAATTTTTTTCAGACCGTTCTTGAGACACTCTACATAACATAGGCCTAAGGAGCATGTTATGATTGCAGTCACAGTCACCAATTGCTTTCAATGCAAAATGAAAAACTGTTCTAGTCACGGTGACTTGACTCTATTGAAATTTGATTAACCGTACAAAGAGCTGTCATGCTTTTTAACTTAATAAAGATGAAATCAAAGGAATTTATACCTACAATGTCAAGTGCAACATTGCAAAATATATTTCCTAAAAGGGAAATGATCGAAATTTGACACTTGGGACGTGTGCGAGGGAAATTCTAAGTTGTGCCGATAATGTAGTGATGTATCGATACGTGTTGATAAATGGCTAAATGTGTGCAGTGCAAAAAATCCCAAAAAATCTCCCATTTGGTTTAGCATCAACTTAACCTTATTCGCACACGTCCTTGAAAAAATGAAAATAAACAAAAAGCAAATAAGTAGGAATATTTTAAAATATTTATTTTTAATATTATATTATGATATATATATAATATTGCATATTATTTAACAAAAAACATTAATCTTATTTGGATATCAACTGAAATGTCAACAAGCAAAAGTTGTTTTAGAACTTTCACAGAACTTTCTGACACATGTAAGCTCTTTTACAAGCATAAATCAGCTTGTGCCAATAGTAACGCTTAAATATATATTTCATTAAAAATTCAAGTCAAATTCAAACCATTTAAAATTAAATAAAATACGTTGTACATAGTTTTAAATACAACTCTAGCTGTGATGTTTCTCAGCAGAATTGAGAATAAAATAATAACTGACATTTGGCAAAGAACTATTTACATATAAAAATTTATTTTTTTAAAAATTATATAACAAGATGACATAGCAATATATGTCATCTTTTTATTATGTATTATCCTTAAGTTTTTTAATATATTATATATACTCTATAATAGTCGAAAATATTAACAGCGAAAATCGACTGTATCAATACTGTGAATGTATAATTACTAATCGGGAAATTTTAATGCAAATATTTAGAAATACAACTCTGTAAAGCGCGCATTGATCTAATAAGATTTTTTTTTTGCAAAATTGGGGCAGACGATTTTCGGCATCATAGTTTTATGGAATTGCTAGAGGAACTTTAACATATTTTAAACATCGTGTGTACATGTTATATTTAAATTGCATTGTATAATGTCAATGTTTCGAAAACCAAAGAAAATACAGCGTCGTGTATTTTCAACAACTGCTGATGAAGATGAAAGCGAACCGACATCTGAAGTCGGCTTCGTGCCGCCTCCATCCGCTACAATCAGCACTGACAAAAAGTCGGAAAAAAAAGAAAAGAACAAAGATTCTAAAAGCAAACTCAGATCCGAAACGATGGATTTAACTGGCAAAAAGTCACTTTTAAGTTTTGCTGACGATGGTAAGCGACTGGTTATTGTAAGCAAAAAAATCAATAGATTTGGAAGCGGAGTCCAAAAACAAAATATAAATTTATTTAGCTAATAGCTAGAGTAATCAATTAAATTCAATTCAATTGAAAAGTATACGTATTTATATATATATATATAAGTATGTATATATATATATATGTAAGTATATATGTAAAATTATTTTGACTAGATGTGCAGTTTGTGTAAGTTAAACTAATAGAGATTCGTGCGTGTGCTGTTGAAATTTTTTTGTTTTAATTAAAACAAAATTAAATAATAAATAATAATGTATTATTAAAACATCTGTATATGTATAAACTTATTAAATATATTTTGATATTGTATTTAATATATTCAAAAGTCTGCTATTTGTGGACAGTAATTTTTTCATACACTGACACAATAACTTATTTGCAGAAGATGAAGGAGAAGTTTTCCAGGTGCGTAAGTCTTCGCATAGTAAAAAAGTGATGCGAATGTTAGACAAAGAACGGCGTAAGAAAAAGAAAGAGGAACGAGAAGGGGTTCATGCAGATTTAGGTCAAACAAAAGAGGAATGTGCTAATGGACGAAGTGGCATCTATACTACAAGTAAGGAAACAACCTTAGGCAATAAAGGCGGAGATCAACTGTCGTCTTCTTCGACATCCTCCAAAAATGTTGTGACTACAGAAAAAGCAAAATGTAATAGTAATAAAACTGATAGTATCCAAACTGAAATACGCACAGACGACTTTGTGGTAAGGTTATTATTATCAATTTTCTTACAAAGTATGATATTTAACGACAATATTATAAAAGCGAAATGTGAAGCTTTTTTAAGTAATACTCTCTTTGAGAAAAATACCAGAGTATTCCATTGTGAAAACAAGTTTAATGAAAAAGCTGGGAGTTAGTTTGTTTATTAAAATAATGTTGCTATAAAGAACTCAGTGAGGACAGTCACATTAACAAATTTTAAACAAACTAATTCTTTTTTATCAACTACAATTTTATATATCAATACATCTTAAAAGAATATACTATAGAAAAACTTATATATGTTTTTTTTTAGTTTTATTAATTGAAAGACTTGCCTTCTTATTTTACTGCAATTGTTGTAAAATTCTTAATTTAACAATTTCTTATAATACTGTTTTATATTATTTATTATATCCTATAGATTATTAAACATAAACCTTTTTTATTTTTGTTCTTTATATTTAAAAACAAGTCATTATAATATACTCATACAATTCATATCTTATTGTTCACAGTTGGTTGTTAAAAAATCGGAGCCAGATGTCGTACTCAACGGACGAGCGGCATTTTGTGCCGGACGCAATGACATGTCGGATGAAGATGAAGAATATGATGATCAAAACAATGGGAAGCATCGTTTTTCAAAGCCAGAACAACTTAAACAGATGCTAGAAAGTGGTTCAATTCCAGATGCAGCTATGATACATGCTGCACGCAAAAGAAGACAAAAAGCTAGAGAAGAAGGTACGTTAATTTTTAAAGTATACAATAAAATTATTTAAGTTTCTAAATATTTTAGGAGAATTTATTGCATTAGAGGAACCTAAGACTGAAGTTAAAAAAGGCAGTCGTTTAGCAACAGAAGATGTCGAAGGAGATAATTCCGATGAAGAAGAGCGTGTCGATATGAATGCCATAACTGGTGTTAAAGAGCGCGAAGAAAGGCGTGAACAATTTTATTCTGTTGAAAATGATTGTATGTAATGCATATTTCATTGAATTTATTTGCATTGGATGTTATACTCACACTCATAAAATATATATAAATGTTTAACCAAATATTTAAAATGAATTAATTTCTGTTGAATAATATTGATCTTTTTTTTTGTTTAATGCAGATACCGATGAGGATTCAGATCATGAAACACATGAATGGGAAAATCAACAAATACGTAAAGGTGTTACTGGTGCACAACTTGTAAATGCACAACAGGAATCAGTATTATCACGTTTTATGATAAAATCAACTATGAGTCCCTCAGAATATACGCCGAAACCGCAATCGACGAAAGATTTATTAGATGAAGCTTATGCCAAATGTTCTTTGGAAAAACCAACCTCAAGCAAACCGAAAACCGAAAAACCAACCGCTGCAGTAAGATCACCGCAAGAAATACATGATGAAATAATGAATAGGTATGCTTTTTATTTTCTTTAATGTATTTTTGTGTTAAACATATACTTATTATAGAATTAATCATATAAAGGAGTTGTATGCGAAACATCAAGAAGAGGTTGAAACAATTGAGAAAAACTTGAAATTGCTTCAGTTGGAAAAAGTTGATAATAGTCAGAAAGCACCTGCAGCAGCTGCTAAATATCGTTTCTATCAGGAAATCAAAAGCTTTGTAGACGATATAGTTGATTGCCTTAATTATAAAGTAATGACAAAAAAATTTTTTAATTTAACAAATTTTTTTTTCATAATTTGTATAATACATCGAAAGTTAATTTTGCTTGTTTTTAATTTTCATTTGTCGTACAAATTATACGAATATATTAAAGTCGGTTTTTTTTTAATATTTTAACTTCTATTTCGTACGTTGTATTATGTGTATCTCTATACGCGTTTCGGTAAATTCGTCTTTGCCTTCATCAGGAGAATTTCTAATAATATTAGGAAATAAAAGTTAAAGTTAAAGTATTAAAAACAAAAACTGACTTTAAAATATTTTCGACGTAACGACTCAAAAAATTTAAAACAAAATTATACCAATAAAACTCTGAGACCACTCCGACTTTGTATAGTCTCACATATTTTTAAGTGAGAAATCAAATTAGAAAATGGATTTAATTTAATTTCTTTTAAAGGTGCCCTTTATTATGGATTTGGAAAAGCGTGCGTTTGAAATACATTCAAAACATCAACAGTTCCTTATTGAAAGAAGGCGGCAGGACGTACGTGATCAAGCAAAAGAAATGGCCGAGGCTTCTAGTATGTATTTTATTTATAAACGATGCAAAATTTAGTTTCATTTAATGAAATTATAATACAAAAATTCAGCATTAAAAGATTACAGATTCTGAATTGAAAGTATAAAATGTGTTTTCACCACACAATACTTGGTTGTGGTCAGGTCTTAATATAATCTATAACTATAAAAATAACATTAAGTATAACAATATTGTTTTGTTAAAAATAAGTTATTTAATTTATAATAACAATATAATTAAATATAAATATATATTTAGATAGACCGAAGGTAAGCTACGGTCCCTATATCAGTCATGTTACAAATTAATTTTTGTAAAATAAATAGAAAAGGATGTATATATATAATAATTTTTATTCGTTTTAGAACCTGCAGCACTTCGTCGTGGTCCAGAATATGACCAACAAGTAAGACGTGCGGCGGAACGAGAAGGAAGACGAACACGTCGACGTTGTGAACGAGAAAAAAATGATCAGCTGGCAACTCATTTGGATGGAACATCAAGCGATGATGAAATCGCAGATCAATTACAGGAGCAGCTACAAAACAATTTAAATCAAATTAATACAGAGCAAGAAGGTGTATTTGAGGATGTGAATGATGAGTTTTTTAAAATTGAATGCATTTTAAAGAAATTTGATGAGTGGCGTAGAACGGATATGGAAGCTTATAAAGATGCATTTGTTAATATATGCCTGCCGAAGGTAAAGTAAAAGAATTGTTAGAATATTCTTGGAATAAAACAAAAATAACAATACTTACTTTTAGCTTCTTGCTCCATTAGTGCGGTATGAGCTTATTAATTGGTTTCCCATATTGGATGATTATAAAGATATGGAAAAAATGGATTGGTTTCTAGGATGCATGCTTTACGCTTTAGATAATACGGAGACAGTGGAAACTTTAAAACTTGATCCTGATTTAGAATTAGTACCAACAATTATTGATAAAATTGTACTTAATAAATTGACTGGTAAAAACTTTGAATTACATATAATTTCACGAAATAAAAATATTTTTCTTTTAGAAATTGTTAATCACTGCTGGGATCCTTTATCAACGAGACAAACATTAAGATTGATTGGTTTTATAAATCGTTTAGGGAGAGATTTTCCACTTAAAGAGTCTTCTAAAAATTTGAAAACTCTTTTTATTGCTATTATGGATAAAATGAAATTGTCACTAGATTCTGATGTATTTATACCAATCTTTCCAAAGCAGTAAGTATAGACAACTATATTTGTAGAATTAGTTTAAATACTTAAAACAAAATTTATATAATTACAGAGTGCAAGAAGCTAAAACATCTTTTTTTCAACGTCAGTTTTGTAGTGGACTTAAACTTTTTCGCAACATACTTAGCTGGCAAGGTATAATTGCTGATAAGGCGTTGCGTGAATTGGCTATTGGTTCATTGCTTAATCGTTATTTGTTATTGGCTATGAGAGTAAGTAAATAACCCTATTCAATGAGTATGTTGTAAGTATCGGAAAGGGCGAACGATATTGGTCGTCTGAAAAGACTGTTATCTGCATTATATGTATAACTTAAAACTGTAAAAACTTTAACAATGCTGAGTCAGAAGTAGGTACATTTCGCAAAAAATTTTCTACAGTGATAGAGCTTCTTTGTCGTTTTTTTGAACTGTCGTGTTTTGGACAGTGCAAATCTACTATCGTGTCTAGAGTTGTGATAGACTAATGGTTCTTTAAAAATGTTTAAGGTGTGATACAAGCCGTCAATTATAAGCCATATGATTTATGATTTTGTTGGAGTAAAATATAAGATATACAGGCGGAAGATATCTAATTTTTACAGAACGGTGTCACACATCGCTCAATACGTCCTGTTTTCGTCCTGGGCATAAGGTTGAATTATGTTAAGTAATTTAACGATTTAAATTAAAAAAATTGAATTCATAAAAAATATATATAAATAGATAATATACTTAAATATTTTTTTGAAATTTACAGGTTTGCAGTCCAAATGATGGCATTAGCAAGGCTTATATAATTGTAAATACTTTGCCAACTGTATGGCTACAGCCTGGATCAGAGACTATAAATAATTTACAATTATTTATTGTTTATATAAAACAAACTTTAGAAAATTGTGATGCAAAGAACCCAACTTTTATGTAAGTGATATATATTTATGCATATATAATATTTAATATATTTAATAATACTATTCTTCTTACAGGCAAAGTGTCGATAAGGCAAAACAAATATTGCAAAGACTACATAGTTTTTAATATTAATTAATTATTAATTATATTGTTAGTTTCATTTTTAGAGAAAAACTAAGTAATCTTAAGCTGTATTTGTATATATAAATCCAAGATACTATTAGAAATACTAATTTTTTTTGTATATAATTGATATTAATGAATTATAAAGAAAACAAAATGCATACTTAGCCGTTTTTAAAATTTTATTGAAAATTAGGTAATTATTTTTAAATTAATTAAAAATAAATAAAAAATTATAATTGAATCATTGTAAAAAAAATTACTACATAGACTTTATTTACAATACGAATTAATTAACATCATACATATATTTAAATATAAAACATTTTTAACTACATTATTTTTAGAAATGGAAGCTGTTAATATTTGTTAATAGACCTGAGCAGTAATAAAATAAAATATTTAATCAGCCTTAGTTACCCCTGGCTTCTCAAAGGATTTTGCTAAATGCTTGATTTGTGACTGTAAATTGTGCAATTGTTCATTAGCATTTTTGATGTCATCACTGTCAGCCTCGCTTTGCAAAGTCTTTAACACTAGATCTAAAAATATATTTTTTAGTAATTAATTATATTATAATAAAAAAAAATTATATTTTTATACATATGCAACATATTATTCTTTCAAATTGTATACGATGTTAAATCAACTTCAGTATATTCGAATTACATTTCGATCGAACATTTAAAAGTTCGAATATATTTAAACTGCTTGAATAACTAATCTGCTCTATGTTTCACTGCATCCTCTGTCGACACTGCTGGCTACACTTTGGTAATTTTTTTTCACTTTTTTACTAACATATTCTGGCCAGTAGTGCAGATGCAGAGTTATTTTCTTTTTTTTTTTTTTTAGTACATTATACGATGATCCAACATTTTTGAGCAGGTCATTGTGTCAAACTTAGAACAGTTTAAATTATATTTTAATGTCAAAGCTTCCGTAAGCTCAAACAATATTTGTAGCTTTAGTATAAATGTAATGTCACTTACCATGATATTGCATTAATAAATCCTTTTGATCAGTGTTTAAATGTACGCTTATTATCGATAATATTTGAGCAACAAATTTGCCAGATGCATGTAATATACAATTAGTTGCAGTTGTGAATAAAATTAATGTCGTCAAATGTAGTACCAAAGCGTGGTCACTACTCTCTTGTAATTGTTCCAATAATTTTTCTTTATGCTGTACGATTAAAATGCGATCCTTCTTCTTGTCAACTTTCTTGATTATCATACTACAAGTTTTTAACACGCTCTCAGTGGCCAGCACGAAATCATCAATACTCTTATTCAAAGCCTTGTTTTGCTCAATTAAAGGATTTTTATACTCAGCGTCTAAAGCATTTAAAGGTTATTATTAACTGTACTAAAAAAAATATATAAATAATTATACTTACCACATTCTTGTGCTACTTTATTGCGTTGATCCACATTTAAATTATTGTTTTTCAATTGCACATTACATTCATTGGCTATGTAGACAGTTATTTCGTTGCAAATATCATTTCCAAGGGACTTTAGTAAATATTTAACTAATTGTGATTGCACATCGGCGGGGAAGAGCTTTAATATAAAAACAAAAGATGTTTTATTAAAATTACAAAAAAAAGGCAAAAAAAAACCCAATACTTCTACATAATAAAACATAATAACATACATAACTTTAAATGTTTTTAACGTCATAATAGTATTTTTCACATTATTTTTATATTATGAAAATTATAAATAGATTATATCCCATGTTTTCAAAAATAGTAGGATTTATATGTATTATAAATGAATATAATTGTCATTTTATAATAAAAAATTATTTACACATCATATTAGTACCTTTAAACCTTTTTCGTATAAACGTATATCTACGAGTAGAGAATTTAGTTTCTCTTGAATAGCAGCATGTGTCTGACGCCGATTAGTTTGTGGTGTAGCTTCGTATAATTCTTGAGCCTTGGTTAATGCTTGTAGATTTAATTGGCTATATAATAAATTAAAGCAAAATTATTTAAATTACTCTTTCAAATATCTTTAAAACTTTACTTAATATATAAATTAGCTATTGTTTCAGCTAAATGATCCAAATTTTCTTCATCCAATTTTTTTCGTATGATATTAATGATGTCTGCCTTTTTAATTAGTTCCATAGTCTTTACTGTTTTTTTATTACTACTATTTTTGCTTTCATCTTCCTCATCACTGTCTGCATTATTTGCAGCTCCGCGTCCACCTCTCTGATGTTTCTTTGTAGATTTTGTTTTAGTTTCACGTCCCTGACTTCCACCACCAGCTTTGCCACTGGCAGCCTTTTTACGTCGCTCATCACGTTTATCCTGCTTCACATCATCATCGAAATCTTGCATTGTGATATTTCCTTTATTCGCCAATTGCTTCTCAGCTAAATATTGCTGATATACACCACTTTCTATTGCCTTCTTAGCATTGCCATGCGCAAACTCTTGGCATGGTTGCACAAGCTCCGTAAGGTATTGTTGAGAAAAAACTTAAAATAATTCAAATATATTTATCTTTTCCACATTTCGTACTAAGGTACTTGAATAATATTTACCAACATTATCCATAAAAACAAAATTATTGGGTGTACTATTTTTTTGTGACATCACAGTATTAAAAACTTCTTCGATATCTTCATCCGACATATTACTTGGTAAAATCGTTGCAAGATCTACATAGCTTTTAGTGGCATTGCATTCGTTTAGTGAAGACAATACAGTAAGATCGATAATCTTGGAACCAATGGCACAACGTTTCAGAAACATCATTTCTTCATTTGGAAATTGTTTCCGTATAAATTGCTTAGCATCAGTTATGCCCAGCTTATTAATGGAATCATACTCCAGAAAACCATTTTGTTTGTAAAATGAATTGAACCAGTCAGACTGAGTATACAATTTTATTTAGTTTTATTATATTTTTTAAGAGCATTCTAAAAAACTTACCTGCATCTTGGCATAAATATGTGGCACATATTGAGCATTGGCTAGTTTGGATGTTAACTGTCCAGCTGGTGCGATTTCATCGAAGAGGGAATGGAAAATTTTCTCTTGCACACTGATTTGTTGCAGAATGGTTGCAACATTAGTCGGCCTTGTTAGTGCAGCTAAAGCACCGCGTATTTTAGATTTACAACGCTGTACATAGGCTTGTGTAAAGAATACACGTGGATTTGCTTGGTCTTGACGACCACGTATAATCTTTCCCAAATGTTTCTCAACGACATTGTGCTGCAGAAAATCAGACGGTAGATCATATTGTTGTGCTAGATCCGAAACTGATATTTCACCTTTCTGAGCTAGTTTCTCATTGATTTCTTGCGCCAAATGAGTGATATAATCCTCATCTATCAGCTGACCAAGCATAAAATATATGTTTGGATTGGAAGCAGCAATATTTGTGGCTATGTCATTTACCTGTAAGATGATATGTAGAACAATAAGAATATAAAAGATAATGGTAGAAAAATAAGAGATCTCTAAACATATGACGTGTTTTTTAATATTGAGAAGAGGATGAGTTTATTGAAATAGAGTTTTACAAATAATGGATCAAACTTTTGAGTCCCACTATTATAGCAGGTTGCAAAAACTTGTGAAATTTCTATGTTATTTTATTTTTCTATGACAGATAATGTTTTTAGTACCCAATTTCACACTAATGATAAAATAACTTTTCTTATATATTATTTTCTTTATTTTGCAATTAGAAAATACTCTTTAAACAAAACAAAATTTATTTAGATTTGAATGGAAAAAATGTATGAGATGCATAAAGATGTACGAAGACCTGTCTGCTCCCTGAAACGTCAAAGTCACATTTTACGTTTTAGTTTGATTTTAAAACTCGACAGATGAGTACCTTTTATTTTTACAAGAAACAATTAACTCCATCGCATTAACATCTATAATTTGCTTATTAAACGTCAGGAAAGTGATTGAAAAATTTAGTTAGGGTGGTATTTCTACCAAATTTTATATAACATGCATGTACCCTAAAATATCACTTGTTTCGGTGTCCACAAAAATTTGTAGATGGTGAAGTTTTTATATCAATTATAATGCCTAAAATTGATTAGATCAGTATTTGGACAGTAAACATAAATATTTTTATGGCCATGATAACACGGTAGTGCCAGAAAAATAACAAAAAAAATTACTGGATGGAAATGAACAATATATAGTTCAGGCGGTTTTCTTTTTTTCCCTTTTGGCAAAAAAAATTTGCTTTTCAAACCTTGTCATATTTTAAGCTGTACAGTTTAGTTTGGTTATTTTTATTTAAATGAAATTAGCGTAAAAAATAAAGATGAGGCAGCAATAGGACTGTCTGTCGATACGATATTTAGAAAAAGATGTTATCTTGTCTGATGAAATATGAGGTTTTTATGTTAGACTAGGAGTTTGTTTTGTTTAGGATCAAAGGAATAAAATAGTCGATAGTGCACAAATGCAACAAATTTTTGTTTTCATTTTCGTTTCTATTGTATGGAGTGACTATAATGTTGCAGGAGCACAGTGTTGTGCTCAACGTACAATTAAACAACTGTAGCTAATTATGTTATACATGAATTAGAAGCAATTATGATACTATAATACTGTGCATGATTAAACTATAGTCGTTGGCTACTGTATTCCATATAATTGGATTATGATAAAAGTCAGCAGCTGCTGTATCGAGCAACAGTATTTATACATGCGTTTTAATTATTATTGTAAGCAAATTGTTGTATGAAATGCGAATAACACAGTAGGGTGTGACGTCAAAGATAAAGACTCGTAGGAAATCATAATAATAATATTATAATATAATATGCACATTATAATATTATTTTTTAAACATTTTCACTTACACGTGAATGGTCAACATTCAGCGTTTTGCTAACTTCAACTAAATTGACACGTCCACCGTTTACATACAACTCATCTTGGACCTCTCTTTCCAAATGCTGTGGTGTTATGTATTCCTTACCATCACTGGTATAAACAACTTCAATAAGCTTCTTTTCCAGCAATAAATTAACAATTTCAATGCAATTTCTTTCGGATAATCTAAAAAAATAAAAATTTTATCAATGAAAAATACTCCAAAGCAAAAACAACAACACAGCGTTTATTATTTATTCAATACTTCTGTAAAGTTGATGTTAATTGAGCCTTTTGAAAATCCGCTGCTAAACGTTTAATTTCCTCCCAGTCCGAACTCATTTTTAATAAATTTCATAAAAATATAAAATATAAATTTATTATTATTAATCGAATAGTATGCTCTGTTAAAATTCAATTAACAAGAAATGAAAAAACTGAAACGTCAACAAAGTCAAAATTATTGAGTAAATTTTTCATTTGCAGTTCGTTTCTCTTTCTGGTTGTACACGACAAACGTCAGAAAAATTTGCTGTGTTTACATTTCTCATTTTCCGCTTCACCTGTGTAATTGTGTAGCATGTTTGGCGTTTTGTTTAAATTTAAATTTTAAAAGTTTTAACAAATTTTTAGTAACAATGTCTATTGCTAAATTATTCGTTAAAATTTTTGGTGAAGATATTTTTGATAAAACTGATACAAATTCACAAGAGCAGGATGTTGAAGCGGAAGCATCTTGTCCAAAGCCGCAAGAGGAAGGAGCACTGCCCTTAACAGAGTAATAACATGCCACCCACAACGGGTTGTTAGCATAAATAAATAAAATATTTAATATTACAAAAATTATAAATGTGAAAGCTATTGCAGGCAAATGACAAAAGTTAAAAGCTGGTTGAACAACAAACTGAGCGAAATCGATGAGAATTGTCTAGAAGCAGTTATAACACAGCGTACACAAATGTTAGCAAGACTGGGTCCACCTCATGTTGCTTTCGATATTGATTATTCTACAAATGTAAGACCATCAGCGGACAGGCTTACAATACGCTCTCAGGGCACCTTCAACACTGTTAAAGCAAATGTTTGTGTTTTTGGAGGACGTTGGATGTATGAGGTAATTGCTCTTAAGGTAGCTTTTAATTAGCTTTAATTTAAAAAAAAATGACACTCAAGTGTAGGTCACTAGGGAACAGTATGAGTTAAACGTAAACACAAAATACAGGTCAATGACATTTCAATGTACAAACAAATCGGCAAAAACTGTATATGTGTCAAAAATTTGCACTTGAAAGCAAAAGAAAATGAATTTATATTCAATTGTTGAATAACAACCCAAACTATTATTACTTTTTTTCTTTTTTCTTTCTAAAATTCTATAATTTAAATTTAGATTTCGTTTTTAAAATGTTTGTATTAGTGTCGACTTCAATATTTTTAAATTTTGCCGGGCTTTACTTCTTATTTTTAAATTTATAATTATTTTTATATAATAACTTATATTATGGCCGTGTGTGAGTGCTAGTAAATTGAGGTAAAGTAAATTGAAATTTCCTAGGGATTTTTTGCACTGCACTTATGTAAATATATATTTATTTATTTATTGCACTTATTTATTATTTCTGGTTACAAGTTTTCAAATTTATTTATTTATTTATTAAATATCTTTTAAAAGTTTCACAATGGTAACACCTAATTCATCTAATTTTTATCTAATTTACCCTACTCGAAATTTTGGTAAATACCAACATTCTGCAGCGAATACCGACATGCCGACATAATTTACTATTTCCCTCAATTTACCATTAATTTATTTGAACTCGCACACGGCCTATAAAAAAAACAAAGTTTAGATTAAATAAAAAAATATTACAATTGTTAACTTATGTAATAATATGGTATACTCGTTGTTTCCTATTATATTCTCTAATTGTAACTCTATGCCATATAACGTATATTATCTTATAAATTCCCTCCCTATACTAACATTTTTTGGGATATTAATTAAATTATAGGTGTGTTCTGTTAAGGTAATATTGTTTTTGAATGTGGATATATGCTAGGTAAAATATTTGTACTTACTATTCTATTCTTTAGCATTTTTTGTCCTTGTATGTGTTATATCTTTAACTATAAATATTATTCATTATACGTTAAATTATAATGTATTATAATTATACATTGTACAAAATAAACGATGACTACAAATATACCCAAGTCGGTTTATTTATAAGGAATAGGCTATTAAAGCACCCCGACCTAAAAGATCTATTGTGCGCCTAAAGGCCCAACTAGGGCAATTTTAGACTATTTATAAATCTTGTAATTGCTGTGGGCTTCATTTTACTTATTTGACTTGGGACTAATATCTCGCTTCCAAGGTAATCGAGTCTATGTCTTGCCACCGCTGGGCAGTTGCATAGAACATGTTCTGATGTTTCCTTCTCCTCATGCCAGAGTCGACAGGAGTCACTTTCTGCCGCACCTATAATCTTCAAGTGGTAATTAAGTCTACAGTGTCCTGTAAGAAGTTCAGTGTAGATTTTAATATCATTTCTGTTAAGGCCAAGGATAGCATCAACTTTGATGTGTTCAGGATCAATGAATCTTTTTGACTGTCGTATGCCTGTTTGGGCTCTCCAGTGTTCAAGTAGATGTTGTTTCACCCGTTCACATAATAAGCTATTTGTGAAGCTATTTGTTACCCCGCAGAAGGGCTCTGGACCAATGAAAGGAGTACATGCAAGTCGGTTACAATAAACAAAATGTAGAATTAATTGTATTTTCATATACATAACTCTAGCACATATCTAGCTATAAATGTAGTAATTGTTACTTAATATTTACGTCTGCATTATTTTAGATATTATTGCATACTAAAGGAGTTATGCAAGTTGGATGGGCTTCACCAACATGCACGTTTTGTGACAATCAAGGTGTTGGCGACTCGCTATTGAGTTACGGATATGATGGCTGTAAACAACAAATTTGGCACATATCTGAGAAGAAGTAAGATTAAAATAATATAAACTAATATTTTTTATAGTGTAATTTTCAATTTTCTTTATATTTTCCTTATGTGTAAAGATATGGCGAAAGATGGGAAGTTGGTGATATAGTCGGTATCACTATAGATTTCCAAAGACAGGAAATTGAATACTATCGAAATGGCAAATCAATGGGTGTGGCATTCAAAAGAATAGAGACAGGTCCTGGTATTGCATATTTTCCAGCAATATCATTAAGTTTTAATCAAAGCGTTTTTGGAAACTTTGGTAATATGCCTTACGTTTATCCTATTGAGGGGTTTATGCCGATGCAAGCTAAACCAATTGCACATGTACTAAAAGCGGATCTTTTATTGGGCTATATGAGTAATTTAGCTGATATAATAGCACGAAAAACAAGAAAGCAATATGAACAGGGTGTATCCACCAAAAAAACTGTATATGTTATTTTTTGTACTTTGCTGATTGAAAGGCTAACAGCGCACTTATTTGATTTATATGTCATAGCGGATAAATTATTAGCATACATAAAAGACTTATGTCTAGCTAGGTAAATTTGTTCGTTAATTAAAAATAAAATCAAATGATTGAATGTTTTTAATAGTGATGTAGAAAAACAAGCTAAAATAATTCCTGGTGCAACTGGTAGCTTGTTAGGTGGTGTGCTATCAATTCTTTGGAATTATTTAGAGAAAGAAGAAATTTCGTATATATTAAAAAAAACCGTAAATACGTTGTTAATTGAATATGTTCAATCCCATAAAGGTTTGGATTACCAAAATCAGAAAACTGCTATAACTACTTTAAACTGTCTGTGCAATGATATTAAAACGCGAAAATTTTTATTAGAAAATAAATTATTTAGAAAGCATTGGTAAATTTTATATATATTGTAATTTAACAATCAATTAATACTCATATTATTTTATAATATTAGTTTAGCGTTATTTATGTACATAAGACCACCACGGCATCAGTATTTAGAGGAACTATTACCTAATAATGCAGCATGGACTGAAGGTAAAATAATCCAAAGCTAGTCAAATGTACATACGAGTATTTAAACATTTTGTTTTTAGGTATTGGTGGACCAAAAGCGAAATATTTGCTTACAGTGGATAAAGTTCTTAAAGCGGTGGAGCCCTTGTACCTAGTTCAAAAGGCATTCCTTTTTACTCTTTTAGTTAACACTGATGGCACAGATACTTCACCGTCTAGTCGCAAATGGTTCATTACAAAATTAAGACGATACGTTATGGACCTCAGTGCAGAGCAGAGAGTATTGAATTTTATTCTTATATATTTTTAAAGCAATTTTACAGTAATGATTTCTTTTGCAGCCGTTCCATTCCTTCTTTTTTATGCAATCTAGCATACACTATCCAATACAAGATCAAGTTTCTCTATCATTACTATGTATTCTTATCGATATAACGAGAAATTCGTTTGAAAAAGAAGTGAATAAACAGAAACCAATTGTCGATTGCGAGTATTTCTTTAAATTTGATTATTACCATTTTGATCGTTTGGGTGGTGTAATGTCTCATTTAAAGAAAGTTTTTCGAGAAGAAGTCAACCAGTACCTTGGTCCAGAACGTATTCAATATATATCAGATGAGGATCGTCCAGCTGTCCATTTAGCACAAATAAGTGGTACGATTTTGAATATTTATACAATTATCGAATTAATAGTTATAATTTGTGTTCCTAGATGCTACACTGATTTTAAATATCGGAAACAGAGCTCCAGCTCCTACTATAAATCGCATACCACAAAGGTTAATTTTAAAATACATTATATTAAAAATAAGTTGTATTATTACTTTAATTCCAGTGTTACAGCAACGTTTACGCATTACTTCAATCCGCGCGCACAACCAACAGTTCAACCAAGTCCCAGCACTATTACAGCTAATGAGTCCTTATGTGAACTTCTCGACACATGTGTTCTATTTTATTACTCAGTCGGACATAAATATATAATGAAAGTAAGCTTTTACAATAATTTGTATGCTCAATAACTATATTAAAATAAATCGCTAAATGTTGGTCTTTATAACTTTTTAGATAACCACAGCTCGAGATGAAATTGCTGTGCTAAATGAGGTTTTGCGTGAAACCAAAGGCTATCGGGAAAACATAGAAAAAAAGTTGAAAATTGTAGAAGCTCATGCCACGGTTTGTTTGGATGAAACACACTGCCATCAGTTCGCAGATTTAACACAAAAATTTGGTTTAAGAGAAAATGTTTTTGCAGTAAGATAATCTTAATTTTTATATATTTTTATATTATAAATATGTACCTTTTAATATTTTTTGTTTTATATTTTTTCGTAGAAACGTTCGATTGAGTTGGCACGTAAACAGATTTGGTTTAGAGCGGTTGCACTTGGTAAATTGCGTCGTCTAAACTTTGTTTGGCTTTTGGAATCAATTTTTCGTACTTTAAATGTATGCATTTTTTATATTTATACTTAAAAATTTATATTTTATCAGTACAAATATTAATTTAATGCATGTAGGCTTCATCAAACTTAGAAGCACTCTTTGCTTTTGTGCCAGAGATTTATATTAATATACTTCCTATAATGCTGGACACTATTATGGATTTCTCAAACCATGAATTAATGCTTCAATTTGAAATGTCTGGTAATATGAGATAAATTATTTTATATTTGTATTATCAGTTCCTTTTTTAATTTGAAATATATATATATATATATTTATAATGTTAATTTTTTCTTGCCGAGATTCACGTGTCTTTATGACGAAAAGAAACTATTTAAAACTTAGAAGGATTCGAAAAGCAAAGAAAAGACAAGGACAAAAATTTTATTTAGTTGACCACAGCTCGACACAGCTTAGCTGACCATATGTTACAACGCTGTTTTGAGTATTGCCAAGTACTCATCATCAGTGGTCTTATGAAATATTCCAGTTTCTTAATTAGTTTATAGTCCGCATATAATTCGTTTGGAATGCAAGGGCCGCGTTTAGAACTCGTGCTTGTCAAATTAGAAGCGATGACTAATCGTGTCTTAAAAGTTAGACAGATTCGAATAGCAAAGACAATACAAGAACAAAAATTTTATTTAATTTATTAATATATATTATGTATTATTATTTTACATTTTTAAGTTATTGGTACTTAAATTATTTTCTATTTTCTTTTATTTTTTTTTTATAAAGAAGTTATCACATACTTTTATATAATTTTTGTGTGAAAAGAATATGTCAATGAGACAAGACAAGAGTTATATAAGTATATACTTATATAAATATATAAGTTATAAGAGTATAAAAAGCAACAAAAGTTGCGCTACCACTTCTTAAAATTTCCTTCTTCAGATATATGAATTCAAAGACTTCTTTCAAAGAAAAGTCAAAGATTTGTTATCTTTACAAATATCAAATGAATGCATATTTTTATATTTTTTCAAAAAAGAAATTGCTTATATACCATTCCTGTTATTTTTAAACAATTATTATATTATAACAGTTAATTTTTTGTTTTTGAAACATTTGATATAATCATATATCCATATTGCCATTTCACATTTTTAGTTTCTATTTTATACTACATATTGATTTAAATATGTTTAATATATTTTTTGAATATAAACCGTATTTTAATAATGCATTTAACATGCCACAGATGCTGAATGTGTTATTGATGAAGCGGCAGAGTTTTTATCTGGTCATGCAGCAGATCAACGAGTTGTTATAGCCTCTTGCAAAGACGCATTGCTACAAGGATTAGGTACTTTGGCTTGCCATCGTAGTGGTATGCGAGCTCTGGAACGTACACCAACCACTAGGTTTGTATTATTAATAGCAAAGAAAAAAAAATAATATCCTGTCCTGTATAAAATTATATTATTATCTGTTATATTAAACCAAATTATCTTTTAGGTATTGTATGTTAATTAAATTTTCTTCAATTTTAAAATAATATTTTTTTTTTAATATAGTCAAGTAACATTAATAAATGCCTTATTACGTCCATATGAGAACCGAGCCTGGGGACAAAGCAATTGGCTATTATTGCGTTTCTGGCTTGGGGACGGTTTTGCTTTTAGAGATGCCCGCCAACCAAGTCCATGGCTTAGTGGTAATGAACCAGTATATAATGGTTTATGTCGAAGTCGTGCCAAAAACGAAACACATACCGGCTTACTACATCATATTGCACCACCAAATCCATCCAAAACATTCCAAAGAATGATAGGCTCAATGCTTACAGATGATGAGCCATTCGCTACTACATTTTTGAATTCTGTTCTTAGTCAATTGAATTGGGCATTTTCGGAGTTTATACTTTTATTACAAGAAGTATGTTTTATTTTCAAATATATTATTTTGTCAATATCTATTTATCATTAACATAATTATTTTTTATAAATAAAAATGTTTTTGTATTTTGTAGATGCAAAATTTAGCAAATCGTCAGGAAAATGCAGTATTCGAAGCAAAACAATTAAAGATATGCGCTATGTGTTTTGAATTAACAGTTTCTTTATTACGTTGCTTAGAGATGATAATCACAGTAGCTCCCGAAATATTCCACGATGCATCGAGGGCAAATAGTGATTTAATCCTTAATCGTGTTTGCCAATTAGTGAGCCAAGTTTTATCACGCGTAACTGTGCCACCAGGTTGTTTCCAATTTGTTATTGATATGTGTGCTGCTGAATTGGAATCTGTATCGCATTTTCCCATAATAGCAGCATCATTGGGTATTATTGTAGCGTTAATGCGCCAAGAATTGGATTCCGAGTTATATCCACCAAAGGTCATTCAATTTTATTAAATTTTTAATATTAGATTTATTGCAATAATTTATTACATTTTCAGGTGACACGCATATCACGCGCATTGCTAACTGATCCTAGTTTTCAATTTGCCAATTTGGAATTTGCTTTGGATGAGGTTAGAACGCCTATATTGCAACAAACCGAAATACCGCGCGGTAATTTTGATCCTCAACAGCGTGCACATATTGATCCCTTAACAAATGATGTCCGGGTACCAATACCAGCAATTGCCAAACGTTTACGAGCTAGTCCTCCATTTATTAAATTTTCTTTGAAAGATTGTAAGTTTTTATTGTCCAAATTGTTAATGATAATCTTCTTATGGCATTATTTTCTCATAGTTCCTTCGCATGTTAAAGTAAAAGAGCTGGAAGATACACGTAAGCTTATTGACGTATTACGTGCAAAACAGTCGTTGTTATCAGATATAACTTTGCCATCTGAAGATTCATTATGCCCAATTTGTTGTGCAAAATCTATAAATGTAGTTTTCCATCCATGCAAACATCAGTCCTGCAGAAATTGCATTCTACAACATCTTATGAATTCCAAACTTTGTTTCTATTGTAAATCATTAATCGAAACAGTAACCGGACCTGATGGCGCCGTTCTTTATCATAATACAGAAGACGTTCTACCCCCACCAGTTTATGATGATGACTTTTAAAAATTTTTTTAAATTAATAATAATGAAATCACACCTTCCCACCCTATAAATTCAAATACAATACTGCCTAATTAATATTTGACAAAAAAGGACAAAAGCAAAATGAAAAGAAAATAATTTTTAAGTTAATAAAATTAACAAAATTTATGCATTTATCTTAGCTTTAAATGTTCAATGTGATAAACAAAACAAATTAATATAAAAAATATTCTCTAGTCATGCACACTGCACATGTTGTTACAAAACATATTTATTCAATTGTAATTAAATTAAAATCTATATAATATATATTTTTTAAAAATTGTACAAAACTAGTATATTTAGCTAAATTATAAAATTTTTAATTAATCGTAATTTAGACGCCAAACATGTTATACAAAATAAACGCCATAGTTAAAAAATTAAGCTTTTCTTTATTTTCGAAATTATTTTTTCGTTTTTCTAGTGCTGTTAGCTGACATTTTTTAGATTGTAAGTATTTTTACTTATATTTTATAAAGAACTTTTTTGTAGAATAATTCTTCACATGAAATGTGTATGCAAAGGTTTTCTATAAATTTATGTAAAATTATTTTCTTATTCTTCGTTATTTTTAATGCAGTTAATGTAGCACTTTTTTATACCACCTTTTAGGAGATTTGGCTATAGTTGCGTTGGTTCTTACAGTTGATGTGTGGAATTTTATAAAATTTGAAATCCGATTAATGTAATGAACGTACAAAGCGAAGTTCTGATAAAACTGATAACATAGCAAATTATTGACATGACATAGACTTAATATTGTAGCTTTGTAGACAGTAAAATGACTATGAAATTGGCTATTCTTCGAAAGTAAGACAATTTAGAGGAACATTGGTCCAACAAATGTCATGTTAAAACCGTAATGAACGAGAGGGATATAGACTATTAACATTAGTTGTTATAAATTTGTTTATTACTCTAACTGAAACAGCTAACAGACTATATATTTATATATAAAAAATAATTACTAATTAATATTAATATTAGTTTTTAAAATTAAGTAATTTAATTTCTTAATATTATTTATATTTAAATATGTATAGGGTATATTTTGCGTAAACGAAATGTACGGGCTTTATCACGACATTGATATAATCCAGCGGCTTTGCTGGCCTGCTCATGTCGTGGGAATAGATAGAGATGCTCCAGCGAAAAAGGTATTTAAAGCGATGATTGGAGGAAGAAGGTGAAGATGTAGACCGTGTCTCTGGTGCAGTGATTAAGTTAAGGGAGCACAAACCGAACTTGATGAGGACTTACCGTACGAGATTGGAGAAGGTGTGCACGCAGCAATGGCGTCTAGAGAGACATGTTGCTGGTAATTGGTTGTTATGGCCAAATAAGTAAGTAAACAAAATAATAGTGTATAGACTGTTAATTGCATATATTAGGTTAGTTTAATAAGCTATACATCACACATTTATCCATAGTTATATATGTATACACCATTTTTTTATTAATTTTTCGCTTAAATCAAAAACACCTATAAATTAAAGTGAATTGTATTTATTTTTTTGAAATTTTTTGTTTTTAAATTTCTTATATACTTAAACTAAGTTTTCAAAAAACATTCAGTTTTGCCTACAACAACGTATGCATAAATATATTAATTACCTTTTTTTAAACAAACATTTATATTTTAATAATTTTAAGTTTTTTCCACTTTAATTGGAATTTAATTATTTTGATTTTTAAAATTTGTATTCAACAGAAGCGTCATTTCAATTTGCATCAAACTGTGCCCATGTATTACAACAATTATTTAATTAAAATTTACAGAAAAATATATTATACTAATTACTTGAAAATAGATTTTGGTTTAATTAAACTTGTAACTTTTCATTTACACAGTTAACTTCTTTTACTATTCATATATATGTATATATATATATCTCTTTTTTAAACTATAAGTAAGTACCTTTCTTAATATAAGTTGTAATATTCCGCGGCGTGTACTTACATATATCCTAAACTGTACCTATAATTTATCTTAATTATTTCACACATAGTTAGACAATATATTGCATATAAAAATAGCACTTCTTAAGCATTCAATTCGATTTGTTTCTTACTTAAAATTAATAAAAATAAAATTAAGAATATCATTACATATTTTATATATATGATATATATACAATATATATAATTACATTGAAGATATGAAAGCTTTTTTATTAAGAAACAGATATGCTCTATATTTAGTAACATTGACCAAAATTTTATTTTATTTGAACTTTTAATATTTGTATCTATAAGTATATTTTTGTTAAATATTTTACTTTGATATATATATATAATTTTTTTTGTCTATAAAACTATATTCTATATATTTAGTTAAATCCATGTTTTAACTTATTCTTTGGTATTGTCATATCATGAGGTATTTATCTATAGCATTTCTTATACTAAAATTTGACTAGTTCCAGATTTCTTAGACTAACCTAATTCGTTCGACAGACCTTCGAAATATGTTTTATAAATCTATGAGTTGTTCCCCTATTTACTAAATAAAAGCAATTTATGCCTACCATAAATGATAAAGACAGGATAATCTAAATGATAAGATATTAGAGAATTTAAACAATGAGTTAGTAATAATGTAGTACATGGTAGGTAACAGTGGGAGCTCGTTTCACGAGATGGTACAGGTCACTGAAGCCCTTTATGTGGATTCATTCGAATATCGCTTTTGGGAGCGCGTCCGGACTGTTAACAGGGAACCTAATTATAATAGAAAAACTATTTAATCATTTTGAGAAAACGGACAATGTCCTTAATTCATTTATTTGCGCTATCGGATAGACACGTTTTGATGAGATAGTGTATACTGATACTGTATTTTAATAAATATTTTATTAGTAGATACTAATATTATAATATTTATAAGAATACAAACAGAGAAACAGAGAAGTATATATTGGATTTCGAAAGTTTAAAATAGTTGAATGTTATACGTTCTACATATGTTGAATGGTATATATGCTGTTGCAGTAATAATAGTAAGAGAAAATTAACCTTTTTAACATGTTAATTAATCACGAATTTTATGAGATCTTCAATGCCATAAGTATTTATTTCGTAATGAAAATCAATACTCAAAGTACATAATGTTTAATAAAGATGTAGAAATATTTATATATGTATATGTATTTATAGACATGAGAAAAACAGAGAAGAATATATGGGATTTCGAAAGTTTAAAATAGTTAAATCATTTGATTATCTTAGACCAGAAATAAAATTATTATATATAATTATTGTACAGTGATATCTAAATGCGTTCGTAGTTCCTAAATAGTAAATTATTTAATTATACTATCTTATTATTATACAGTAGATTTTAAAGGAAATTTAAGGAACTACATAAATTGAGTTGCTGAGTTAAACTGAAGAAATACATTTTCATATGAAATTTATAAATTTAAGATATTTTTTATATATAATTTATATGCCTTTTAGATGATTTTTATAGTATATATTTTGAAAATCTAGACCCTTTGATTTAAATGGTAAAATTCTACAGTTCATTGAGCTAGCAAAATAAACTCAGATATCAGTTGCTCAACTGCCAACCGCAGCTATGGATATATGTGACATCATTTTATTCTCTAGTATCCTAAACATCGAATGGAGATAACATTTGGCTGCCACTAACACATATGATTCTTACATTTAGATATCTCTGCCGGTGCATTCTTAAGGTGAAATGCAATAATTGAATACTGAAAAAAATTTCAAGTCATTTTATATACGAATATAAGTATATATATAATCCATATATATGTAGAATGGCAAGTAAATAATGTGAAACGGTTTAAAATAGCGATTATGTCAAATAGGCTAATAGCAAATAGAAAGCGAAGTATCGAAATGAACGGAAACTTATACAAACAATTGGGATAAGCGCCTTCAGGGATGAAAACAAATGGTTCTAAATGAAGATTCTAAAAGTTTCTTCCGGAAGTAGAAGTATTTTAAACCAGATATTTTATTATAACAGCAATAACTAATTTTAACATTAAATATTAAAAAATTTTCGATAAAAATATCAGATTTTACTTTAAAACTGCAAAGGTTTTGATAAAGCTATTAAGTGATAATATCATTAAAATCAATTATTTCTAATATTGACTAAATTTTGCAGTTAGAGCAGTGTTTCTCAATTCTTTTTATGGTATGCCTTATTTAAAACTTTTAAGAATTCTAATGTTTCCTCTACTTGTTTTACAGAAAGATCGTATTCGGAAAGGTAAGCAGGTTCTTTTTGAGCAATGAAAGCCGAACTATATCAGTCACGTTTCCTATAATCAATCTCATTCTTTTGCTCGTGCATTAGTAGGTTGTAAGTTGTTGTGAAACACTGGGTTAGACCAATAAGTTTATGAAAGCTGATTTATAGCACTTAAAACATAAATATGTAATGAGATCAGGTTATGTTGAAAATAATGTATGTTAAATGATCCTACCATTTCATTAACTAACTTATAGATTACTCTAATTATCATTCTAATACTCAGTGCATTTTATTTAAAATTACGATATTCGAAGTTAATTTATTAATTACATGCTTAATAACTTAACTTTTCGGTTTCTGAAACTCTTCACATCGTATACTGTTTTTAAATGATTGATTTCTTCCGAATTTAAAGTCGGAAGTTCTTCTTCATTTAAAGTAACTGACAAGCGCTCGAGTGCATGCGATGTGCATGACGTCCGTTGGAGTGACTAAAACCACTACAACATTGGTGTGCTGCATCAGTGACGCGTGCATGTGTAAAACTTTGACTGTTAGTCAGTTTTGGTTCATGGACATGATGATAGTTTATATGTGATACATGACTGTGCCTATAAATAAGAAATATGTAAAAATGTATTAGCATATAAGTGTTAAATTAGTTACCCATGGTTACAAATACTTGAATCAGATATAGAGTTTGGCATTACTGATGGAGGTGGTGGTGGTAAAAACAAGGGGCAACCACCTCCGCCGCTATCATCGTCTATAGATCGCATTCTACCGCCGCTGCTTAATTCAAAATTCGTTAAACGCATAGCTTCTGCTTTCTTCATGTGATTATCAACTTCGTTGACTTCTTCGATCATTTTGTCTAATTTTTCCATTGCTTTAGTCTGCTTAGCGGCAAGAAAGGCTTTTCTTGCTGCCTTTGTCATCGGTAATGGTGCTGATAGTGAACGCACAGGTGGCGGTGAGTGCATGGACAGAGATTCTTTCGAGACTGTACGGCTACTGCTAAACGAGGCATTTCCGGACTGTTTAGATTTCAAATCTGTTTGCTTGGACGTACTAGATGAAAATGTGATTTTTCTAATTTGAAAAACAAAAATAATAGTTTAGAAATTCGAATTTATTTAAATTAATTGACTGTACAAAAAATTAAATTATAAAAGTATTGTATTAGTATATTCCGTCACCTTGTTTTTGATTTTTCTAAAGGCGCTGATGTGGGAGCTGATGTCATCATGCTCTTACAAGTCGCCGTTTCTCTAGCAGGTGCAGTCGAAGGGGGAGTTATTTGATCCATTGCTGCTAATTCTTCTGGTGTGAACTGATCTGGGTTATTTGGTCTTGGCTTTGGGGGCGCACTACCAATACGAAACGGTGGTATAGGACTAAAAGGACAATTTTTTGTACTACTGCCAAGAGAACCACGTGAAATTTGCAAATCTTCTAAGAATTCTTCAGTATCTAAAATAAGAGAACCAAAAATATCGCTGGGTGAACGCATAAACACGTGCCCTGTTGAATTTGAACGTTCTTCTCGTCTTCTCTCAAAGCTACTGCTACTGCTTTGCAAGTTTCGTACTGGGGAATTAGCTGCACTACGTCTAGCAACATCCTTAAAAGTTACTGGCGAGTATATACGACTTCGATCTTCTGTGTTGCTAGTTGTTGCAGTGCCAGCAGCAACGGCTGCAGCGTCTGCGGTAATTGTACTTGTAGTGCTCGTGGCACTGCTGTTTTCTATATTATTGCTTTCAATTTTAGATTGAGTTGGTGTTGCCATTGGACATGGTGGTGGCATTATTGCTTTCGGGGGTTGTATTACACTGATACGTCGCTCAACTGTTGTTGGTGTGGATACAGTAGTACCACTAGTGGAACTTGCTGGTGTGAATGAACCCATCGTATTTTGTATAGCCGAAGGTAATTGTAGCTTTCTACGGTTTGTATGTTCTTCCAACCAATACGTTTTCATAGCACCTTTGCCTTTCACTTCTATTTCACCACGTTCAGAAAGTTTATAACTAGGACCTAAAAAATCTTTGGTTGATTCTGACACATGTACTTTCATAGCGGCACTGGTGGATTCCATGCGTGATGCAGTATTGACAGTATCACCAAAAAGGCAATAGCGTGGCATTTTTAAACCAACAATACCAGCAACCACAGCACCAGAATGTACCCCCACACGTATGCGTAAATGTTGTCCAGTTGATGGATCTTTTAAATCTGTTATTGCTTCTACCATATCAAGTGCCATATCACAGACTCTTTCAGCATGATTTGCGTCTTTCTCTGGTGCACCCGCTACAACCATATATGCGTCACCAATTGTCTCCACTTTGTAGACTGTATTACGTTCTGTTAATTTATCAAATATGGAATACATTGCATTCAACATGGATACAACTTCCATAGGCGTAATTCTACTACAAATTTCAGTAAAAGTGACCACATCAGAGAAAAGTATTGAAACGCTATCAAACATCTAAATAAAAGATGTTAAGCATAAAATAAAATTACATGGACTTTAAAGATAAATATAGCTTAGATATATTTATATATTTACCTCACAAGTATCTATTGGATTTTCTCCCCTACGTAAGCGATCTGCTACTTGCTTCGGTATCATCTGATACAGCAATTCATCAGTTCGTCGCATTTCTTCATCTAATTTCCGCATAGATTCTTCTAACTTTTTAGATTTTTGTTGTTCTTGATCCAAGGCAAGCTTTAGTTCCACTGATTGTTGTGTACCGGCTAACATAAGATCTCTATATATGAATAAAAAATATCAAGATTATAAACTAGTTTTGTTAATGTCACATTAACGTGTTTCTGTTTTAAAAACGCTTTTTAAAATTTTAGTATTTGTAATATATCAGAAATTTTTTTTTTTATTAAGGCCAAAAACCTTAATAGTTATTACTCGATATCGAATTCTCGATATCTATTTAACATGTTTGCCCTTATTTTGCTGAATTAATCTTAGAAGATTTAAAACTTCTTCGAACTTATAATGAAACATAAAACAGGCATAGAAAACAAAAGCACCTGCCTCATCTTCCCCACAGATGTAGCAAGGGTCATTGAATATAATATATCCCTTAGCATGATTACCAAACGTTAATAATTCCAATATAAAATTGAAATTTCTGTGAAAAATGTCAATAAGATTGACATGATTTAAATATTTAATATAGAAAGATTTTTTTCAATTGTTTTCATGATGTTAACTGTATGTCCTGTCTCAAATGTGTTTTCAAGATATATTGTTTGATTAGCTCATTCGATTTGAGCATAAGCATATACAAGTCAAAAGAAGCAGTTGCACTGCAATGCTTACAACCACTTTTCAAACACAACAACATTAGCGTGAAGAACAGAAAACTGATCTATAGCCAGATAATTCGACCAGCATTACTTTATGGGTGTGTCGCGTATAGCAAAGCTGCCGACTCTACTATACAAAAGGTACAAGTCGCTCAAAGTCAGGCTCTCCGAAGGCTCTTCAAAGTGCCTTGGTACATCCGCACAAACGACATGCTAAAAGACCTTAGAATCACTCTCCGCACGGGGAGGTACGCAGATCTTAGATCAATCACTGAATAATCATGAAGCTTGTAGGCAATACATAAATTAGTCAATGAGATGGGTGGGACCCGGTAGTACCCCCAGCTATTAAAGAGTAAAAGTGCCCAGTTGCGCTGACTCAAAAAAAAGGATCAACATACATACATACTTGTACTTAGTATCTTTGTGACCAGGATCATAGAAAAGAGTTGTACTAAATTGTGTACCTCATTTAAAGATGTCTATCAGCCAAAACCTGTTCCAGTTGCTAATTGAGCTGAATTCAAAGATTTTCAAGTAGTTTAGCTGCTTGGTGGTATAAATAACATATATTCAATATATTTCCAGTTCAAGCGATATATAGATTCTAATTTTTGCTTTAAAAAAACGCTGCCAACAGGCAGCCTACAATATTTATATATATCCAGTTGCAGTAAGAAAATTCCATTATTACCCTTTACTTATCTTCAATTCACCAGTACATAAATCTATAGTTTAGACCCTTTTTTAATGAAGACAATGTACAAATTTAATAATATTTATCAGAGATATTTATCGTCTATATAAGTAACTTTTTTCCGAAAATTATTATTGTAATATTGTTAATTGATAATTATTAAAATAATAATATGATAATTATTGACATACATTATTAAAAAATTATGTTTTACCTGCTAAAATCATGCATAGACAAATCATTGATATATAAACCAGTTGTAATCAATGAGTTTAAATCAGGCATTACTGGCGTACCTAAAAACATTATCATTCGCCAGTTTTCCATATAAACCATTTGACCTGAAATGTAATCATAATAATTATAGATTATAATTAAAAATTTTAATTTTTCATAAAATCAAATTGATAAATAACTGTTGATGTTACATTAGAAAGAAATTAAAAAATCTATTTTCAAGTCATAATACTACTGCATTCACCTTATTCTATAACCATTATTATTGATTTCTTGGAGAGACTTAATGGTATATAAATACAGACTTTGAAGATATTAGTAATATTGTTAAAAAAAAATTAGAACTTTATTTGTTTCATGAGGCTTATTAGTTTTTTAAATTTTTTTTTTGAGAGATTTTTCTCTAAAGAGATCGGTTATAGAAGACATTTAAATAATTTTGTGACTTTTTGTCTTTTTTATTTTCATATATATATTTTAATATTAGTTTCTGAATTTAATTTTCATCTACAGGGTTACCATGTCCAGTTTTTTAATACCGTTGTGAACCATTTCTGAGCTATTACATATTAATCAAATTTGCTTCATTAACCAGCAATTGTTCTTCTATAGAAATTTCTTTCAAGCCCTTATATCACTTTGTAAATAATAATTTTAGTAATTATCGTAATATATCTTAATTAAAAAATATATTGGATTTGTAAGATTTATAAGTATTTGTAATGAGATACGGTTCTGCACATAAGTAATCTTTATTTCATTTATACAAAATTGACATGATTGTTGTTTCATTTGTTTTTGTTAAATGTTCTGTAATAGTTCAGATAATTTAAATATAATATTTAATCAATTTTACTAACAAGCTATTTAGGTATTTAAAATATTTTTATAAAACGATTGTAGCGAAAATAATAAACTCTAAATTGATTTGGGATTGAATTGTGCTTAGGGATTGAAAATAATAGCAACATCAATAAATTCCAGAAAAAGTTGTATATAATTTGATATAATCGTATACATTAATTTTAATATAATCTAATTTCAAATATATATCACATATATATATTTTTAATTTTTTATATATTCTTAATATTAATTATATATAATACTACATATACATTTTTTATTATTTTAGAATTTAATCAACAAAATATATAGTTCTAAAATTGTGCTTCCAAATAATATATAAAATTTTAATAAACATATAATAACCTTTTAATCTAAGCGATTTTTCTGGTTCGCTGCCATCCTCATGCCCAAGATGCTCATTATCATCCGGCACATCCAAACGTTCCACCACAGGCTCCACAGTAACTAGTTCAAATATGTTGTTGGTACGATTTAATATCTAATTTGGCATAAATAAATTTCGATATTCAGTATTTATTCAATTAAAAGTTTCTTTTTTTTTCAATTTTTTATTTCAATTCAATTGAATCAAGAACTCTTGTGTTGTTGTTAGAATCTCTCTTTTTTTTACTCACCGTCTGAAACTTGAAAGCAATTAGCGGTCGCACTAGATCGAACCAGGCTGTGATTTTCTTTCCCAAGAGTTCGGGTAATATGACCATTAATGAATTGCCTATACTACGTACTACCATATCAGCACTGACAATTTCAAATGAATTTCATTGTATGCATTGGAGATAAAAGAAAAATAGGAATAGTTGGCATGAAAATGTAAATGGTAACTGTGATATTTTCCAAATGAATGCTACGAGTTGCAAATTAGCAACTGCAGAAGCACAATTGTGCATGGATTGCAATAAGTGCCATAAGTTGCTGTTTGCAGCTGCTTCAAATGCAATTAGTTTTCAATTTCATTTGAAGGACGACAAGAGCTAGCAAATAAATGCAAACTACTTTTATTGCAGCTCCATCTGCACCCACATGCCATTATGTTGTCATGGTTGCTTAAACTTACCCAAAAACTATACAAAATGGAAATATTTCAAAGAGTACGTGTGCGCTTATGGGCAAATGCTTCTCTTCTCGTGTCATAGCTAGGGAGGCCAATGTGAATGCACGGTTATCAAATGACAACTGAAATGTAACGTGCACAGTATCGAAGAGTATTTCTTCGCGCACCAATTCAATGTGCATTTCTTTATGATAGAAATATCTTGCCACTTCACGTATTTGTCCCATGGTGTAATAAACGAATCCACGTCGTTTGGAGCGATAGTGCAACGTGAGACCTTGGCGCGTTTCATTCTCGCATATGAAGGATGGTGCACGCATACGTGGATAGGAAAATTTTAAATATTCATGTAAATTGTCAAGGCCATTAAGAAAATCGCGCATATGTCTTCCAAGAACAGATAATACACGATCATATCCATATTGGCCAACAAATCCAACAAAATAAACACCCATTTGATCCATAAAATCCCGTTCCGAAACGCCAAGTACCTGTTGTTATATAAGTAAAAATCAAAAACTTGCATAAAATATATTTGCTTATATAATAAATATGATTAATTTTAATAAAAATGGCTATAAATAATAATTAATCAATCATATCAAAATATATTTATTTCTACTTGTTCACTAGCGAAGTCATGTATAGATAAATGCTCAAAGAAAATTTTTATATTGATTAATTGATTTCTGGTGTTCTAAAAGCACCTATGGTGTCGATTAGGCCATTACCTAAAAATGTACTTAGTGGAAAGCTTACAGGTTTTTAATGCAAAAAATTTTGGAGCTAAACTGCAAGAACTCCTGCCGGTTTTGATGAAATCTGGTTCAAGTGTAATATCACAGTAAATCGATATTTTATTATTTTTCATTAGAGAAAATAGTTTGCCAATTCCAGCTTTTATGATTCACAATATGGCAAGAATCGAAAGAAAATATTACCGAATATTAATTCAAAATCTCAGTAGTTCCATCATTCGTTGCTATTTTCCACACAATAATATTCACTCGTTGCTCATAGATATCGGTTCTATTTAGCCAATAAAGCTCCTCTTCTAGTTATAAGCTCTGGATTTGACTTTACCAGAATTAAGAGCCTAATGAACTCTTAAGACATAAATTCGAGGCTTTTATATATTTCAGTAAATAGAGACAAGTTATTTTTGATAAAAAGTAACGCTTAAAAAATTGTTTGGAAATAAATAAAAAAAATAAAACTCATAGTACTTAAGTTTTTTTTTAAAAAGTTAAACCTGATTTCGGTATGATTTTAAATTCTTTTCTCATTCTAATTTTAAGTTTCAATATGTAATTAATATTTTTTATTATATCATGGATAGTATTCATAAAGTAATCATTATAATATATTGAGTATATTCTAACTGATAAAAAAATATAATTTTACTAATTTATATACTATAATTGAGTTATGGATTTGGGCTATTAATACTCCAAGTATAATTAATTAGTCTTATAGGATTTTCCGACGATTTAAGCATGGTAAGAAACTAAGTATAAACACCTTAAGAATCATTACGAAAATTCTGAAGCGAAAACCATAGCTAAAACTTATGACCTTACAAAATTAGGAACTTAATATAAGGAAATATGTTGGTTTTGTAAAGAAAAGAATAAGACGTTAAAACATGTACAGAGAGAAGTACTTAAATGGACATCTTATATCGTATATAATAATAAGATTGTGTAATTTTGGTATAATACAATAATTTATTAAGGACGCCGGACTAGGAGAAATACTCTGTCTCTATTAGAAAGGGTATAATATATCTCAATATTGAAATGCAAAATCTCCAACATAATAATAACAACATATTTAATTTTACAAATATTAAAAGCAATGAATAGCTGCCAAGAGGGCAATAACAATATTTCTTAAAGCTATCAAATAAAGCCCTTATTTATTATGGCATCGCTTCATTTATTCACTTTATTTTTTCATATAAATGAAAAAAAAAATATTAAGGGAAGACTTTATTTATAAACGATATATGGAATAAGTGTTAAATAGAATTACATTGTTTAAGAAATTGTATGGGATGGTTGTGTTTTGAATTTAAGTCATGTTATAGAGTGCTATAAAGAAAACCTTTCCAGAATAATGTAAGCACTCAGAAAAGTTTTTTAAAAAATTTCTATTTAGTGAGTTTCTCCAATGTAATTTCATAAGTTTTATTTAATATAAATTACTTCGAGAAATTTATTATTCAAATCACAACGACAAAATAAATTTCATAAATAGAATTATTTGTATTCGAATAATTGATTCTGTTTCGTACTTTATTCACATCACTAATATTCGATTGATTTTATGCAATTTGGTATGCTTTGCTTGATGTTCGGCGAAACTTACCTGTTGCGCCTTTTTTGCCAATTTGTTAAGCAAATTCTCCGGATACACTTGATGTACACTGAATGATGGTGAGTCGATGCCAGCTTGTCGTCGTATATCCTCCCATTTCTCCTCACCATAAACTGATTTTATGTATTCGGAAAGATTTTCCAATAGTAAACCATACATATTGATGAGTTCGTTGGTGATGTAGGTTAGGTGGGATTGTTAGAAGACAGAGCTGTGCGTTTCGGCTTTAGTTGCTTGCTGGCATAAGTGTATGTGGATGCTTTGTATTTATAAGCAGTAAGGGTTTCAATTAAATTCAGTCAAGTTCTATTTTATTTATTGCAAACTGTAATAAAAGAAAAATTCTTAGTAATAAAATTTGCTCTTCATGATAAATTAAAGTCATAGTTCAGTATGTTATATAGTTAATCTTAATATGAAATCATAAAGAAAAAACTTAACTTGATTTCATTTTGTTAATAATTGAATTTTAAATGTATTAAGTCTTCTATTGTTAGAAATAATACTCTAATACTTGTTTACTATGAAAAGGTTATAAGCCAAATTAAATTAAATGAAAAAAATGTTATGTGTTCATATAATCGGCTTTGCAGGATTGCAACTAGACGAATTATTGATTGGAATTTAGATAATGAAGTTTGCGAATTGAATTTTGTTACTTTTATTAAAAATAAGATAAGAAAATTTATTCAACACAACTGCTAAGACAGTTTGTTTTTTATTAAAATTAATAGTTAGACATAGACAGTAGAGGTTAACTTAGGTTATTGTCATAATAAAACTTTCATGCAAGATAAATGAACTTACTAACTTACTAACATAGATGAAATGATTAAAAATGGTGCATTTCTTTCTTAAATATTTAAGTACTTTAAATATAAGTGTTTTAGTAATTTTATAATTAAATATATTCATACAATATTATTTTAATATATTAATAGTTTAATAGTTTAATAATAATATTCTAATTTTTAACTAATTCTAAATTTCTAATTAATTTACTTAATCACTACATACATGGAATAATTAAAAAAGATGTGTTGTTTCCTTAGTTTTTTTTTTATAAATATTAGTAATTTAGTAATGTTAAATTTATATATATATATATATTATATATATATATTATTATTTTAATATATTAATAGTTTAATGTTATAATATTTTAATTCTTAACTAATTCTAAATTTCTCTTTAATTCTTATTCTAAACTTGTTTTAATAAATTAATGTTTTAGTAATTTTAAATTTACTCAAATATTTTTATTCCATATATTAATATATTATTATCTTAATATTTAACTCACTTTATTGTTCGTCATCCAATTTACCAAAAACGGAATACACGTCTATTCGAATTTCGTTATTCACATTGAAATGAATTGTTCTATTGTCTTAAAAGTATTGCTTTAAGTGGTCAGGAGTGTTTTTTAGCTATGCCCCGTAATACTGTGTTTAAGAACATTTTCTGCTTACAATATTTTTTAAAATTGATTACGATATTATCTTATTTATTAGAAATTTTTGTATTTAATCTGATTGTTTTGGCTTGGAAAGTACTTTTTTTTTAAATATTGCATGGAATCAATTACATATCATAGAGGTACTTTAAAGTCTTTTTCGTATAAATATATATTTGATATACCTACAGGCTGTAAAAAAACTCTTGACCGTCAACGAGTAGCACCTTGATGTATTTAACGCAAAAAAAAATACGTATTACTCTCTATATTTTGATGACCTTAAGTTGTCAATAATAGTTATAGAAGAAGAAGAAGAAATATTCAATTTCACAATGTTTTTTGGCCTAATGTTTTTCACTAAGTGTACTGCTGATTTGCCAGCCTACAAATAGGCCCAGTAATGGTATCCAGTTAAGTATGAAAAATTTAAGTAATCCTATCGCGTGGCTAATAAGATGGACATCTTAATCAAGCTGAGCCAAATTAATCAAAGTGGCTTAAACGCTTCGTAAACATGAATACTCTCTGATGTTTTTAAATGACGAACCTCTTAAAAAATTATTTTAAATCATTTTGCCAGTAATACTGATGTAGACTTTGTACTTTATATTGCATAATATTTTTGAAAAAAAAATATATATTATAGACTGAAATAAACTCAGCTATTGGTTGCTTAAACCGAATTCGCAATTATTGCTACAAATCAAAAACATCATTTGCTGGGCAACTTTTGATTCTTATCAAGAACTCTGATTAGTAACAAGATTGTAATAAACAGACCAGCTGTTACATTTTAAAAACACAGAACTTGATGCTTTACATCTACATAGGTGCAGACTTTCCTCAAGATATCATTTCATGTAATGCATATTGCAACTATATACGGGTAAATGAAGAAAAATAATTGATTTCCCAAAGACAATATTTGATGCCATAATGCGTTTTACTGCGAGTTTTTTTTTAATCAATGATGTACTTACAATTTGTATAAAAAAATTGGTCTTTTTATGGCTATAAAAAAAATTAATGTTTAAAATGAAAAACAAAGTATTGATCATTACGACACACTCCAAAACACTTAGCATGGTTAATGCTAAATAATAGTTATGGGTCTGAGTTATGTACAATGCCTATTATTATTATATTTTGGACCTATGCAAAGATTACTTTATTTTTTATTTATAATATTGTATTTCTGTTTAAAAATTAAAATTATTTTTATTAAAAATATTTTTATACAACCATTCAGCTTTTTATGTGATTTTATCGAAGCACTTCGCAAATCATTCTAGGTCTGTAAATTATTTCTTTCAGACAGTTGGCCTTGACACATATTTTATCTAATAAAATTGTTTTATATTGAAGTATATAAAACTATAAATTTATTATATACATATAATTAATTGTTTTGAGCCATCATATTTTATATATAAAACTATAACTATGTATGTTATTATTATATAGAAAACTAAAAAACTAAAAGACTAAATGGCACAAATATTTTGTCACTCATTAATTTTATAGCTGTTCATAATGTTTTATTACAAAATTTATTTTCTAAATTAATTAAATCAATTTTATTACATTTCTTTTTTGAAATATTCCTAATAAAACCTTTACTGCCGAAATAAAAATTTTGACTAAATCTAAAATTATTCAAATTCATATAAAATTTATAAAAATGCAAGAAAATGGTTTAAATTGAATTGACAAATTGAAGTGTATTTATTGAAATTGACCTATTTTTGATTTAGTATTTCAACAAAAAATAAATTTTTTCTTACATAAACTAAAAGAATCTATTAACTTTTCAACACTTTTAATATAATTGCAATTATTAAACTAAAAATGTCATCATTAATTTTTATTTCCGCATTAAAATATTTGTCTCTGGCAATATTTAAATAATAAATAGTTTGGAAAAAAATCCTTAACGACACAAAATTTATTTCATATCATGAATATATATATATATATTAATATATTAATTAATAAATATATAATATATACACTATATGTGCATATTTTTTTGTATGACATTTAAGTAACTCTTCATTTTTGTTAGTATATCAGCATATCATGTAAGTTTGGATGCCTTGAAAATGAAAACTGTTTCTACATATTTATAATTATTGAAAGTTCCTTAAAAATTCATAGTACAGTTAAAAGTTTTTCAATCGGGGGTCAACTTAACTCACTTTTCATTTAAACTATAATAGGATAATTATATATAACAAATTTTAATAATATTTAGAATTGTAGCAGATTACTTAAAAGTATTTAACCCTATATGTAAAAATATTAATTGGAATAGTATATTAATAATAAATTTAATAAATAAGCTATTAGCTAGGTTTAACTCTGCGTAGGTTTGTTAGGTTATGTTAATTTTTAGGTTATGTTAATTTAAGCCAAACATTACACACAAAATTGGTTCCTAGTGAAACAAGCAAAATTCCTCTTGTAGGCAACATATAGAATGGCAATGCTTTTTTTCAAATTAAAGGAGTGCTTGAAGATCTATTGTTAAGATGGAACTTACAAGAAAGATTTCTTAAAATGTGTTTTTAGATTTTACTTTTAAATACAGATCATTTATTCAGTAGTTCCAACGCACTTGCTCTTAGTGTCAAAGCGATCATGTACTATAACTATATAATTTTTAGTTTAAGAGGGAATACAATTAAAATTTTTTTTGTATTTTTTAAATAATATAAATAAAATAAACATTTTCATTAATTCTTATTCATCAATTCATAATAATGAAATAATCTTATGACATTGATGGATATGCTTTGATAATTGCCACTTTTCTATTAGGTGCTAGAATAGTGGCATTTCATTAAAATAATAAAAATTAAATAAAACGGTTGGTACATTTAAATTTTATAAAGCAAAAAGAAAATTTAAAACTATAATTGATGACATATCTGTAATCAAATTCCTTATTCTAGAAAAACTTTATTACATGCTTTATTACATATACTTTATTACATCTATTTTTTTAAGTCACAATTTTTTTCCTTTGTTATTAGTATAAGTTTAAGTAAATGAACTTTACAAAGTTATGGGTTTGATTATATTCCTATATAGTTAAATTGTAAAATAATTTTACATACAATTTTTATACAAATAAACAAAGAAGAGAAAATTAGGGAAACTCAATAACCGTATTCAAATATTTTTATTGTAATATTTTATTATTATTTTTTAGAGATGTTTCGAATAGTAGTCAACTACAACAACAAAAATTATTTTAATATTTTAATTAAACGAATTTTTGCCTGACTCTTTCGAGTATTGCTAAATACTCATCATTAGTGGTCTTGGAATTATTTCTTATTATTCGTTTTTGGAGTTTTGATTATTTGCTGTGAAAGTTCATTAAAAAATTCATTTATATTGTTATATTAGAAAGAAGTCATAAAGTAGCTATAGAATTATTATATTAATTAATTATAGTTATTCCTTTTTTAATACTATTAATACTATTCTTTTGCAGAGGCATTATTTATAGCATGATTCACATTATTCTTTCTTGTGTATAGAACCTGATCTAGGAACATAATACGGTAAAAGTCTGTTAATGCTACTCTACGACGGGTATTTGACAATACTAGAAACAGCTGTCTGGTCAGCCAAAAATTCAATTAATTAAAAATAATAACTATTAAATTTTTTTTGTTGTATTTCACTATTGTTCGAAACCTCACTATTAAATACAATAGTTAATATTAAGTAAAATAGACACTACCGTCATAACTGACGTTAAAAAAATTAAATTCATTATTATTTTTT